CGCACGTTTCATCCAGCGATATTATTACCGTTGGGGCGCTGACAAATGTGAATTATGGGTCTTCATTGTCGAACAGGCACCCATATCACAGAAGTGTACTGTTGCAGTGTTGCAACCATAGACCTACAGTGTACATGATTGTTAAGTTGTGCTCTAGCCTCTTTCCAAGGCCTACACTTTTCTAACGCGATATGTACGCGAGTGTATCTAACGTGTTTGTTGTCTTGCCTATTCCATGTTACCGTGATAAATGCATTGTACCTACAAGGCAGTCTCTTTGATATGGTTCCACGAATCTTGATCTCAGATCCGATGGGATTATATATCCAGCTGCCTAATTTGTCGAGACAGCCATTAGGATCAAAGATCCGAAGCTATTTTGTTTAGAAATCCAGTGCGATCATACAGATCCTTTCTCACTTTTTGTCGACCCAAAAATTACCAAGCCTTTCTGGCATTTCTCGACAGTTGTGTTTTCGTGGGGTCTCATGTGATCACCATAGATATAGAGATAATGTATGAGATCTCTATGGTGATCACACACCATGTTTCATATAGTTCGTGGAAATCGTGGTAGGCTTTTTGACATGAAACCACTTGGAAGCATTGTTTCATAGGCTGTGCGAGTTGGAGTCACTCGGATCACAGATCCCTGTTCTTGTCGTCAGCTCCAGTAAAATCAGCTCCAAAAATAGGTAATTTCCACGTGGGATCCAATGATATAACAGATCCTCACCCGTCCGTTTGCTCGGAGACCCACTGCCATCGTATATCTATGGATCACTGGGATCCACGCACATGGCCATTGGCATATAAACGTTGGCACACAAGTGGAAATTGCAGCGTTGATTGCAGGCTGTCTCCATCAGCCATGAAGCCAGAGCTATAGCGACTCGGCCGGGAGCCTCGTTCGTAACCAGCATGCCCATCATGCGTCTAGCGCTCTCCATATTCAGTCTATGGAGACAAGTTCTTAACAGCACGGGCGACACTTTTCCGTTAGGCGGCACGGGCGGACATCGATAGCAGCGCCTCTATCGGTCAATAGGGAAAGCTGGGCTGTAGGCGACGAAATACCGGCTGAGTTGTCACACGTTGAATAGGTTTATAGACATCCGTCTTGTGAAAAAGTTGAACTTTTGCCTTCAATATTTCTACAGGCAATTTTAGAAGTGTCTTCACATAGATTACAACACCGTTTAGATTATTGTATTCACTTCAAGCCAGGGGCGGATCCAGGAAAACTCCAAGGGGAGGGTCATGAATCGAAGTGGTGCCCCTACCTATACCCAAAATTAAAAACTCAACGGATTTCGTCCACTTCATTTTGGTGGTGCCCCCATTTTGTTTTTTTTTTCTTTTTATTTTTTATTTTTAGTCAGTATCTTAACTCTTAGCCACAACCACATTTACCAATTGTAAGCAAGTATATATGAATGTGCTATGTGTATATATGTTGTGGACGCTGAGTAGTGAGTACTTACCAGGAACGTTATCAGGTAAGCAAATCGTTGTCAGTCCGACGAACTTGACCCTGGCGTCTAAAGGGTCTGTCCTTGACACTTCAGGCTTATCAGGGGCACCTACGGCCTTGTAGGGGCGCCACAGGCCCGCCAGGGGCACCACAGGCCTGCCAGGAAGCAGGGGCACCACAGGTCTAGCAAGTATACACGACAGGCCTGTCAGGGGCACAACGGGCCTGTTGGGCCCATGAGCACCCCTAGGGGCAGGGGCACCACAGTCCTTCCAGGGGCACCGCAGGCCTGTGAGGGGCACCAGCGGCCTAGCAGGGGCACCAGTCAACACAGGCCTGCCAGGGGCACCAGAGGCCTGCCAGGAGCACCACCGACCTCGCAGGGGTAACTTGGGCCTGTCAGGGCCCAGGGGCACCACGGGCCTGTCGAGAGGCACTTCAGGCTTTTCAGGGGCACCATAGTCCTCTCCGGGCGCAGGGGTAGCAGGGGCACCAGAGGCCTGCCAGGGGCACTACAGGCCTAGCAAGGGCACCACTGGTCTATCAGGGGCACCACGAGCCTGTCATAGCCAGGCATCTCAGGCTTGTCAAGGCCCAGGGGCACCACAGGTCTGTGAGGGGCACCAGCGACCTAGCAGGGGCACCAGTCAACACAGGTCTGCCAGGGGCGCCACAGACCTGCCAGGGGCACCACAGACCTGCCAGGGGCACCAGAGGTCTGCCAGGGGCACCACCGGCCTCGCAGGGGCACCTTGGGCCTGTCAGGGGCACCACGGGCCTGCCGAGGGGCACTTCAGACTTTTCAGGGGCACCAGTCCTCTCCGGGCGCAGGGGTACCAGCGGCCTAGCAAGGGCACCAGGGGCCTGCCAGGGGCACCAGCGGCCTAGCAAGGGCACCAGAGGCCTGCCAGGGGCACCACAGGCCTAACAAGGGCACCACGGGCCTGTCAGGGGCACCTCAGGCTTGTCAGGGCCCAGAGACACCACAGTCCTTCCAAGGGCACCGCAAGCCTGTCAGGGGCACCAGAGGCCTGCCAGGGGCACCACAGGCCTAGCAAGGGCACCACTGGCCTGTCAGGGGCACCTCAGGCTTGTCAGGGCCCAGGGGCACCACAGTCCTTCCGGGGGCATTACAAGCCTGTCAGGGGCACCAGAGGCCTAGCAAGGGCACCACAGGCCTGCCAGGGGCACCACCGGCCTTGCAGGGGCGCCTCAGGCCTGTCAGGGGCACCACGTGCCTGCCGGGGACACTTCAGGCTTGTCAGGGGTGTTACAGTCCTGTCAGGGCCCAGGGGCACCAGGCCCGTGGTGTCCCTGCTAGGCCTGTGGTGCCCCTGGCGGTCCTGTGGTGCCCCTGTCAGGACTGTGATACCCCTGATAGGCCGGTGGTGCCCCTGGCAGGTCTTTGGGCCCCCGGGCCGCAAGGGGGGGGCCATGACCCATGTGACCCCCCCCCTTGGATCCGCCCCTGCTTCAAGCCTTCCCTATTGTTCTTGATGATGCGGGAACTATTTCTAATTAGTATTTCTAGCTTAATAAAAGAACATATTGTGCAAACGATGAAAAAGCATAGATGGAAGATTTTAAATGCAATTTTCTCTAGCAATTAATGGTAAATTCTCTACAGATCAAGGAAAAGATGCATGCTAACTGATAATTTAAAGTTCCTGGAGCCAGTTGTTTTCTTCTTTTCTTACGTCGCCCCAATGGCCGCGAATACACTTGTGATAACGCCTATCGCCGAAATTTATTTAGGGACTTTAAATTCCAAAATTAGGGTAGGGGAGACCAATGCGAAGCGGCTACCCGGGGCAAAGTGGCCACTCCGTATTTGAACCATTCCCAGCGGGTGTCAACTCCAGTTATTCGTTGCCAATTATAGTTCTCTTCGCGGTCGTTTGAATGAGCCACACCGGAGTTTTCGGCCCGTCGCCTTTGTTCTGTGATATACGGAAAAGTATTTCTTCCCAGGTTACTAACTATTGTTACGATTTTTAAATGTTATTTTATTCCATAACCGTTTAAAATTGTATTTAAGGGCTCTATTTCATGCATTGTGTGGTTATCGCACCTGTCTTCTACCAATTTTAATGCTTTTTAGCCTCACTAACAGCTGAGCTGGATTTTTTTTTTATCGGTCGGTATGCACGGGGCAAAGTGGACGGGGACAAGAAGCCAGCTCCCAGTTGGCTAGAAGTTGTTTCCATCTGGGCAACAAACGTTATTGCTATTTAAATGTATCGTCATGCGTTTATTTCGGTCACTTTTCGGTTACGAGTTACGAAAAAATGCAATGTACAGTTTTTCAATGAATTTCCTTGCATTGCTTATCTACGGGTGGGAAGATGACATAACAAATCAATTCTCGTCTAAACTTTGTTTCCATCAACATTCAACAATTCTGTCGTACATGAAGCAACTATCCTGTTTCTCATATTGGGGCAAAGAAATCGTCGGTGTCCGCTTTGCCCCGGGAGTTATGGCAAAGTGGCTAAAATGCATAGGGGCAAGGTTTTGCCAATATGTCCTATATCTAAATGCGCTTAGATATAAAACAAGTTGCAATGAAAGACAATTGAACAAGGATCATGTTGACAGAGGGATAGGAAGAATCTGTCCTTGTTTGAAGATGATGTGTCGGCATAGAAACAAACATTATGGGGTGGCCGCTTGGCTCGGTCTCCCCGAAATTATTCAAATATTTGGCAACGACGGAAAAATATATGTAGTTTTAAATGCTTGTCTCAATGCATTAAGGAGCATATCATTCACAGTATACGGTTGATGCATTTGTCTATTTAAAAAAAACGTGCATGTTCAAGCGATCCCAGAAGCATACAAGCACATGAAAGCTGTCAACCGTTGGCTCCCAGATGACGGGCCAAATCGCGCTCAGCGCTCGTACTGTGTGTCCGTGACCGCTTCCCCGTCACACTCCCATTATTTTCCACTGCGTCACTCCGGGCGTCATTCCCAATTCGGGACACACCCACCCGGCTCCGGCCGGGAGCGGGGTCCGAGGCTAAAACACTGCCCCCTCCCCCCCCCACTGTTTAGTGTTTGGGCACCACCACGCGGTAGTGGTGTCAATCGAACTTCAATCTTAGGAATTCCGGTTTTGTCCTATGTCCAATTCGGAATTCGGTTGGACAATGACAGAAGGCTTTGGACAACTTTGGACAATCGCTTGATACACCTCAACATTTTTATAAAGTAATCGTGTTTAACATTGATTGGCTATCAGAAAGCTCAGCTTTCGATATGATTAACACTTTTGAGCTGGTAACGATACATTTAAAGCAAATTAAATAACAGTGTTGAGCGTAAACTATTGCGTAGATGTCGGACATCTTTGGACAAATGGCTGGCTTGGACATTTTTGGACACACAGTCGACGTAAGTATTGGACATTGGACGGACATTGGACATACGTTTTCTGAAATTGACACCACTACCACGCGGGCAGACCGCGGCGGCAGCATTCCAGCGAGCACGCTGCCTGTGGCGCTGGACGAACTGCCGTACTCGGTCCGATCAAGGTCGGCGACGAGCCCCAGTAGCGGGCGCTGACCGTGTGTGAGGCTGGCCTGGGGTGTGTCTGCTCACACTGGACTAGCTGACACCAGTACCGATACAGCGGCGGTCTGGTGAGGGCTCTCGGCGGGCGGTGCAGGGCGGTCACGGACGAGCCACTCTGGGAGAGGAACGAACAGCTGAGTAGAATCGTGCTGAGAGCTCAGTGGAATCGTGCAAGAGGAAGGGGAAGAGAAAAAGGGAAGAGAAGACAGGGAACGGATATGGGGGATAGGTAGTGACCGAGATTTGAAAAAGATACAGTGGAAAACCGTCTCAGAACATGAAGCAGGACCACACTGCCTACTGAGGGACACACACGCTTATCCCAACGGCAGTAATAATATTGAGGGAGACAGAAACAAACCAGAAGCACCGAGAAACGAAACATATCGCCAATCTATCGCCTTGTTGAAGAGGAGACGACAAGCCGCAGAACATGGCGTCCAGCATGCCGTCGTCAGAGACGAGTCCAACACCGACGAGTCTGGAGCTGAAGTCGGCCATGGCGACCGAACAGCAGTACATTGACGGTGAGTCGGTCTGATACCAGGTAGGACATGAATAGGTTAAGTTCGTTGGCACAAACCTATCAGTACATTATCAACTGGTAGCTTATAAGTTACCAGTTTGAGAGTTGAGACGGAAACCGGTGAAATAGCAAAGTCCCGAGGTCCGTGTAGATTTTCAGAGCAGGGCTTAAGGTTGTATTGATTGCTAAAGCCCAATATTGCTAGGGTATACAAGGTTCCCTATGCAGAAGCTTTGGAGGCTATAAGAGCCGATGAACTCAGATAGTTATGGCAGTTGTCAATAAAATAGGGGAGAGTGGGGTGGGTTGTATCAGTTTTTACTCCGAGACCCATAACCTCGTAACTATCCGTGATAAACTCATTATTTCCATACTATCCCCTTCCTTGATTCTTCTGCTTTTTTGTGCAAAGTATCTTTTCCGCTACCTCTACCAGTTTTTCTTCTACGGTCTCCCGAATAGAACAATGTTTTTGATACAACTTGCCCCATGGCTTGGGTGAGTTGTATCACATGGTGGGGTAATTTGTATCACTAGGCATTTCACGTTTCAGGGAGTGTGCTTGCTACTGGTTTTGAACATAACAACATTAAATGGGGTTAATTTAATACAATGTATATGCTCAAAGGCTTCACTTTTATTAGACCAAACTTAGGTCAATGCAATCCGAACGAAACATCGAAACGAACGAAACATCAACAGACTAAACGCAAAAGTGGCCCGTTAAGAGCAAAGAAGCCAACACATTGTGCCGAAATGGAACGAGTATTGACTAGCTACCTACAAACGCGAGCCAGGGCTTAGCTTTCGCGATCAAAAGCAACATACCTATACATACATACATGTTACAACATACCCCACCCGGCTCTGATACAACATGTACATAGCCGCCATCTTGGAAAAAACATCCTCGTGCTAAAAAAAAAACAGCGGACAGCTGGAGAAATCCGTTTTCACTCACGCAGCCTTAGAACCTACCCTCACCACCGCTACGGAGATCTTTCAAATTCGTGCACATCTAAATGCCCAGAACACACATTTTCTTGCAACTTATTTTTTTTAGAATGACATTAAAAAAACAAAATCGGCTCTCACCTCGAGACGCGTCCACTCAGCCACAAGACAGAACAGGGAAAGATGGCGCCCGGAAAACCTCGTCGGCTGGTCGTGTCGCGAGCGCCATCCATTGGATAAGTTTGGCACAATTCGCCCTGATACAACTTGGACATGATACAACTCTCCCCGCTCTCCCCTACGGCGTAAACGTTTTGATTTTTTGGTGAAACTTCGTCAATATCTTATTTTAACAGTAGGTGAGAGTGGGGTAAGATGCCCAGGGTTTTGCAATGTCATATATTATTCGAAAATGATGATCGGAAAGCAAAAACTTGGAGTTTCAACGGAAGCGGACATCATTTTTCTCCAAAAAATATCACACTTTCGTGCCTGAAATAGGATAACTTTTTTGCTATTAAGCATTTTCCTGAAGAAGTGAAAGGGAGCATCTTACCCCAAAGGGTGGGAAAGACGCCCCCTGGCGTTGGGAAAGATGCCCCCTGCACTATAAGTGACATAAATGGCCACGTGAATCGCCTGAACGAATCAGTAGTCCCTTCGAGCCTGCAGTAGACACAAAACGTCATCGTAAGGGCCCTCAAAAATAGTCGTAAGGGGCTTCAGAGGTCATCGTTAGGGCCATCATAGTCCGGCGCGGCTAAACAAGCCTCCGTGGTGGCGTTCGGAGACCGTTGTGAGGCCCTTATAGGTCTTCATGATGCTTGAGGGCCCTCGAGCCCATCGCGGGGACCTCAGATGCCAGCGCGGCCCGTGGAGCCAGCGTGGGAGCCCCCAAAGGATGTCGTGAGGGGCCTTGGAGCCAATAATGGGGCCCACAGAGGCCGTCGTGAGGGCTCTCAGAGTCAGATGCCGCCCAAAAAGTCGCTGTGTGTGCCGAGAGACCGGCATGGGGAGCACCCGACTGTACTGGACCCTCAATAGTCCCAGATCGGCTTTTGTCTCTCATCACAAGTATGTAATAAATGATTTGACGGGTTGCTTGAAGGACAGCCTACGGATTTAGGGGGGCGTCTTTCCCCATGAGGGCAGGGGGCATCTTACCCCAAGGTACCGAATTAACATTAAATCAGTACCTACAATTTGTTAGCCATGAAACTAAACCCTGAAACAAACTGTTTGGGACACAGTACACGCATGTTAGTGTATCACGATCATAGCAAGGGACATAAAAATTATTTACTTTCTTTGATATTTACAATGTTTTGACACCAGAATATTTTTTTGAAAGCAACAAATAAAAGACATGCAATCACCAGCCAGCCGTTGCCCAACTGAGCTTTGCAAATTTTTGTGCAGTTAACAAGGCAGGCTTCCGCTTTACGCTAAGAACATTAATTTCCAGGTTTGATTATTTGTTTCGCCGCTAGAGGGGATGGGGCGTCTTTCCCACCCTGGGCATCTTACCCCACTCTCCCCTAGGTAGGTATCATCGGTTTTGTCTGTAAGGTTAATAAGATCAAAGAAACAATTGTGTCATAAATAACGCCATACCTACACGAGGTCTTATCTACCCTTGGAGTCTGCCTAGACGGTTCTCCCCTATCCCGCGCCCTGGTGGGGGGCTATTTTTTGCCCCCCCCCCTCCAGACTTTTCGATATATCTCCAGAACCACTGCGCCAATCGTCACCAAACTGTTAGTACCCTCCCAGGCATCAATTTTACACATTGTAACCAACAACTTTCCAAAGGCTATGATAGGGTGGCCAGAAATGACGTCAGAGTGACGTCATGTTCTGTCGTTTTCTACCCCCAAAAAAGGTTTCGCGGGAAGAGCTATCAGGCCTATAGCTTTGAAGATACAGAAAAATGATGAGACGTAAAGGCTGCAGAATTGACAGGGCTACAAAACTATCATATCAATTTTTTTTAATTCTTGGGTTTGACCCCAAAAAATAAAAAAACTATTTTTTTATATATTAGCCAAAAAACCCAAAAAGTTTTTTTTTCCATATTTCGAAAAAGGGGGTATATATGACAGTAACAACCGTGTTCTATCTACACATTAAATTTCAGATCGATATCTCTTTTTTGGCCAAGTTACAGCAAAAAAAAAAACTTCAAAAATGTTAGGTAACGTCAAATTGTTTAACTCAACTTTTGGCAAATCTAGACCACGTAGCGCAAAACAAAGACCACCATTGGACTCGCCGTGACGAGCTGCATCGATTCGATAACCAGTCTATGCAAAAATATCAACTTTAAAATTTGACCTTTTTAACATGACCTTGACCTGACATCCACCAGGAAGTGACCTAAACCGTTCCTGATGGTCAAATAACCAACATTATTGAGTTGGAAATGAAAAATTGGCCATAAAACATGCCTACATCACACAGCCCTAGTAAAATAGGGTTAATGTGCTGACCCTTGGTGACCTGACCTGTGACCTGACCTGGTATTATCAGTAACCTCCAATAGCAGCATATGCACTGGGCAAATGACGCCCTATCGCTGATTTTCGATAAAATGTGCTTTACTCGATGTTATAGCGCATTCCCTAGAAGACCCGTGAACGGTAAAACAAATTATTATTGACCTGACCTGTGACGTCATCGGTGACCCCGAGGTAAATGGAATTAGATTTCCCTCAATAAATTTGACAGGGCTTTCGAACGCCGTTTGAATTTTGCGGATCCGTCCAGTAGTTTCGGAGATACGCGGGGGGGGGGGGCAAATAATAGCCCCCCCCCCCCACCAGGTCGCGTTATAAACAGACCCCACCAGGGCGCGGGTTAAGTGAAACTCAATTGGAATCATAACATTTTGCTTGAACAAAAAGGGCTATTTTGGTTTACATTCTCACAAACCAGGCTACTCCTGCATCAAAATTGACCGGTGTTACTGTTAACCATGTCAAGGACTAGCGTTGCTGACAGGGCTGCGGAGTCGGAGTCGGAGTCGGAGTCGGAGTCGGTCGGAGTCGACAGTTGTGACCGGAGTCGGAGTCGGAGTCGATTTTAGAAACCCGAGCCGGAGTCGGAGTCGGAGTCACCGAAAATCTGTCGACTCAGCAGCCCTGCTAGGTCTGCGGAGTCGGAGTCGGGAGTTGGAGTCGGTCTGAGTCGACAATTCTGCCCTGAGTCGGAGTCGGAGTCGGAGCTGGTTTTTGAAAGCCGGAGTCGGAGTCGGAGTCGGAGTCGCCGAAAATCCATCGACTCCGCAGCCCTGGTTGCTGAAGCGGTGCTATCATCAAGCATCAATGCATAGAACCAAATTCTAAAAGTAAAACAAAGGAAAATGAAGGAGTTCACGACTGCTGCCATTAGCATGCCATAACTTACAAATCACATACTGGTGACGTAAATTTAGCCCCCCCCCCCCCATAAACGGACCCCACCAGGGCGCGGGCTATAGCTATGGTCGCTAGTTAACATAAACGGTAGTACGTCAACGGCAATAGTTACCTTTTCATCTCATTTCAAGTGTTAGGTATGCATAAGCGAACTACCTACTAGTGCATCTGAGGCCAAGCGTCGTGTAAACATCGGCGCTAAAGTGAGAGCATCTGTCTTTGAGAGCGATAACAGCACACCACTTAGAGGGTACTGAGGGTAACTGAGGAGACAGCCAGATGGCCCAGGTCGCGTCTGGCTAGGTTGGGGTCTGTGTAAACAAAAGAGGATTGTGAGCAATGCCGAATGCAAGCGAGATATCCTAATTTGTTGTATTCTCTCTTCTCAGTGATATTCATTATAAGTATTTTTAGGTTACGGGTTGATACTTGATATCAAAATCGACTTTCAGCCGCGCCCCGCTGGGCTATTCAGCCATACGCGCCCGCTGGGGGGGGGGGGGCTAACTTCCGAACCGATGGTCATAGAAAGACGGGGAAAACGGCAATCAAAAGCTCTTAACAAGGCGGATCTAAAGAGCCCAATTTTCTTGCTTAAGTAGGTCAGAGGTCAGGTCAAGGTCAGGTCAAGGGTACAAAATGCAAGTTTCTACAGTATCGGCCTTGCACAGTAGTTGCCGAAGAATGGACGGAGACTGATTGCCCAAAACGTGTTCTTAGGCTAATAAGACAATATTCGTTGCATAAAATATCATTCACAGGTCAAGATCAAGGTCAGGTCAGGTCAGGTTAGGTCACCAAAAACAAAATATAGAAAAGGGCATGTGCGACACATCTTTTATGGGTCATTTTATTCATAGAATTCAATAGGCACACTCAATAAGTGATATGGACCACATCTGGATGAATTTCAGGTCGAGGTCAGGTCAAGGTCAGGTCAAGTGAGGTCAAATTTTGAAGTTGGTTGTTGAGGCCTAGAAAGGTGTCTATCTAATGCAGTTTTTCACGGCGAATCGAATGGTGCTATTTTTGTTTCCGTACGAGGTCTAAAACTTCAAAAAAAAATCATTTTTCAAAAAAAATTATGTGACTCGTGACGTCATAATTTTGAATAAACCCCACATTTTTGAACCGATTTTTCTAAAAAATGGTATGTAGGTGCACATAGACCACTTCTCCGACACATATTCCGGTTTTTTGATACACCCAAAATTTTGGATTTTATAATTATTTTCCCAAAAAAGTTAGTTTTTTGAAAATTTGGGCCAAAATCCAAAGTTTTCAAAAAACCGAGAGAGCCACTTGATAGACAAAGTAAAATCACGTATAACCTTTTTTGTTATGTCTTGATTCCTTTAAAAATGAAGATGTTAGCGGCGTTTGAAATTTTGCCGTTTTTTAGGCGAAAGTGGCGAACATGACGTCACTAAAACGTCATTTTCTCAACAAAAAAAATCCTACGGATTTCGTTCAAATTTTCAGTAAACGTGTCAAATTGATGTATGATAAGGTACTGAAAGTTTGACGTCGCTGGCGTAACGCGTTTAGAAACTATTGGCGACAAACGGGACGGGGGCAGATTCTGCCCCCCCCCCCCCCCCAGCGGGGCGCGGGTTAATTTGTAGTTGCCATAGCCAGGCATCGAAATGTACTGTGGGAAATGTAGGTAAATGATATAGTTAGATAAGCTATATGTCAAAGAAACTCGTCAAGTGTGCGGCGTGCGACATACTAGTAGATCCGAGATCGTCATCTGAAGGAGCCGTTGACGTCACATCGTTTGGCGATAGGTATGAGCAGTGCACCTTGGAGCTACGTCATCGAAGGGAGTCACTCGATCGTCACTACATACACCGCGATAACATCGTGACGTTCACACTTATCAGACGTTTATCACATGATCGTACTTTGTAGACATAACGCGCAGTGAAGCGAAATGAGTCGTTAAAAATACGAGGGCATGTCTCTATACCGGTCGACGTGTCGACGTGAGTGTGTGCTTTTCACAGAAGTGCAAAATGAGGTAAAAAATATGAAAAAGGAACAAAAGATTCGTGGATTTTTTCAGAATGTCCAAAAAATGATTTTACGACTCGACAAAATGGTACTGAATATCATCATTACGGAGCGAGCGAAGCGAGCGTAGTCTTTCCTTATTGTTTTTTTTCCTATATTTTCCTTTCCTTATTGATATTATTGAAATTTCTGAGTATGAGCGGCCGGCCGGCCGGCCGTGCGGACGCTTTTGTGAGGCTTATATCTCAGCAACCACTTGACCGATTTACATGCGGTAATTTTTGTAGGGTAGCTTCATTCCTTCTACCAAGTATTGGACTATTCCCGATGCATTTGGGTGACCCCTTATGCACGTGCCACGTGCAAAACGAAGAGGTGTCAGTTTTGTAATTGTTGCAATATCTCGGTAATTACTTGGCCGATTGCGCTGAAAGTTGGCATGTAGGTAGGCACCCACCAGGCACTGCATATCCATGTGCCAGAGTTGGGGTGCTGCTGCACGTGCGCACGTGCAGGGGTCGTTTCCAGATCTCGAGAACGGCTCGACCGATTGCGCTCAAATTTGGTACACGGTTAGGGACCAGTTAGTAGGGTGCCGTGCACAAGTCAGTTGGGACCCATTTTGCACGTGCGCACGTGCAGGGTGCCGCTCCCAGATCTCGAGAGCGGCTGGGCCGATTGTGCAGTCAAATTTGGCACATCGCTAGAAACCGGTCAGTAGGGTGCCGTGCACAAGTCAGTTGGAGGTACCCCCTCGAAATTTCGCACGTGCAAGACTCACCCCCTCGCTCGCTCCGTTGGTCGCCCCAAAAGGCGCTATACTGGTATTTTATGATTCCTACACATTTTTTGACCGTACAATTTAAATCGTACACGGTAGGCTTCACGTAATACTGGGACGGGAAGACGCTCGCCCACGGAATTAACAATAGGCAGTAATTAGGCATAGCATATGTTACGCAAAGTTGGAAATAAACACGAACGACATTCGAAAAGAAAAGACGTTGCTTCTGGGAAGACTGGAAAAGAGGCCATAGATGTTAGGTACCTACCTAACGTCAATTAGCCGTAACTTTACCTGGCACACACCGGACACGAGGAAAAGGATCATCTTGTTCTACCCCTCCCCACCTCTCTCGCTAATTGCCTACAATGTCTATTGTCTATGGTCTACAATATCTGTATCGTGTGTCACCAGGTGCGGCTGCCGGCGCGCGCCGCTGCGGCCAGCCGCCGGTGCGTCTGCTGGTGCTGTTCCTCGTCACCGGCGGCTTCATGGTGCAGATGATGCTGCGCGTCACGCTCTCGGTGGCCATGGTGGCCATGGTGAACCACACGGCCATCCCGCACGCCGAGGTCAGCGCCCAGGCCGCGTGCAGTAACTGGATCGCCGCGGACTCGGCGGCCGCACCTCCGCCACCCGAGCACGACGACACAGAGGTGGGCGAGTACGTCTGGGACGAGTTCACGCAGGGCCTCCTGCTGGCGGCCTTCTACTGGGGCTATCTCGTCACCCAGGTGCCCGGTGGGTTTCTGGCAGAGAGGTTCGGCAGTAAGCGCGTGCTCGGCGTCTCGCAGGGGCTGAACGGGGCGCTGGCGCTGCTGCTGCCGGTCGCCGCCGACGGGGGGCCCGGCTGGGTGATCGCCGTGAGGTTCATACAGGGCGTCTGCTGCGGACCCGTGTACCCATGTCTGTTCCCGCTGGTGGCGCGCTGGTTCCCGCTCGACGAGCGCCAGCGGGCCTTCAGCTTCGTGAACGCTATGACCGCCTTCGGCATCTCGCTGACGACGACGATGGCCGGCCAGCTGTCGACCTCGCTCGGCTGGCGCTCCGTGTTCTACACGTCCGGCAGCATAGCGCTGCTCTGGGCCGCCGCCTGGATGCTGCTTGTGCACGACACGCCCCACGAACATCCGTCCGCCACGGAGGCCGAGAGACGCCGCATCGGCGCCGGCAACGTGACCTCGGCGCGCACGGTCCGCCGGCCGCCCTACGGCGCCATTCTGCGCTCCGCGCCCGTGCTGGCCATCATCATCGCCGAGACGGCCAACAGCTGGTCTCTGACCTACCTGATGACGTCGCTGCCCACCTATATGAAGCACGTGCTGGGCTTTGACCTGCGCGCCAACGGCGTGCTGAGCGGCCTGCCGCTGGTGTGCCGCGGCCTGATGATGCTCACCGGCGGCAGCCTGGCCGACCTGGCGCTGCGCCGCGGCTGGCTGCGGGTGGTCACCATCCGGAGGCTGGCGGCCGGCCTCTCCAGCGGCGGCTGCGCGCTGCTCCTCTTCCTGGTGACGTTCGTCGGCTGCCAGCCGGCCGTGGCCACGCTGTTCGTCTGCCTGGCCGGCACGTTCAACGGACTCGTCACCATCGGGACGCTGCTGAACCCGCTGGACATCGCGCCCAACTACTCCGGCTCCGTGTTCGGCATCGCCAACCTCATCGGCAACGGCATCTCCACGCTGAACCCGGTCGCCACCGGCGCCATGATCCGCGGCGAGCAGACGGCCGAGCGGTGGAACAACGTCTTCTACCTGGGCGCCGGCATCTTCGCCGTCAACCTGGTGGTCTACCAGGCGCTGATGTCCGCCGACCGGCAACCCTGGGACAAACAGGAGGATGGCGAACGGGCCGGCAACGCTGGCGGAGTCGGCGTCTTTGAGGAGGTCAACAACCGGAAGGCCGCCGAAGCAACAGAGGAGCGACAGGGTGGAGGGCGTGCGGAGTAGGCAGACGGTAGGCAATCAGGTGCAGATTGAACTCCGACCATCAGGAAGAAAGGTAACTGGGGGTGGGGGAGTGAGCACAGTTGGTGATTTCGTTAGTGGTAATGGTGCCGACTACCTATACGGTATTACGGTCCAAAAGAGAATCTCGGAAGAACAGCAGGGATGGGTGTAGGTATGTGATCAAGCGATAAAATGAAGACAACACATGTAATGGGATAAGAGCACGAGTTGCTTTGAGTGGAACTGTATGACTGGGGAATTTTCAAGTGAATTGTGATGGGCCACGAGCGAATGTTATACTTAGCACGTATCTTCTATCTAAGATGCATTTTACTTGCTTGTGTAAAATCTGTGCTCTTTTCTCACAGAAAGTATCGGTGGACATCTGCAGCGGTTACGCACGTGTCACATCGATGCAAGACTCTGGACCGGTGTGACACTCTTGGACTCAGAAGGATGTGAGGTTCTACCATGAGACCCTAAAAAGACGTTGACTTTAAAGGTTAAGGGCTAGAGCCAAGGTCAGGGTAGCGGAGGCTAGCTAAACGAGACTGGATAAACGGTAACGCTCAGGAGGACCGTTATGAGCATCACTTTTTATACGCTACATCGTACCTTAGTGCACGTATGTATGTCGCCGTCTTGTTTTACAACCAGAAAATAGGTATCGTATAATATTTTCTAATAGGTATGTCTAGTACCTATCATGAGCGGCCACTTTCGGTCCTCTTGGGGCAATAATTCGGTACGTTATAGGTACTCCGTCCTTTGACCTGGAGTTTGACCTCTAGGGTCAGACATTAGGGTCAAGGTCAACTGAGGAACAAAATGTAGCCCACGTAGACGAGCATCCATTGGAATGGTTGTTTGAGGCGTGGCAGATCAACTTCTTTTTAATTTGGCCTACTCCTTTGGGAAATGATGCCTATCTTTGACCTTGTGTTTGACGTTAAAGGTCAAGGGCTAGAGCCAAGGCCAGGGTAGCGGAGGCTAGCTAACGAGACTGGCCGTCGTTTAGGACCGTTTTTAGCCCACTCCTTCCATAAATTCAGGACGTTATCCGGTATCCCGTCGTTTGACCTAAAACTTGACCTCGAAAGTCAAAGGTCAAGGTCATAGTCACGGAGGTTGCCCACAGTGACGAGCTATCATGCATGACTTCTTTTGATCCTCTTCGGGCAATAATTCGAGACGTTATTGGGTACCCCGTCCTTTGACCTCAAATTTGACCTTGATGATGACCTTAAAATGTGTTTTATGCCAATTTTTTTTTAATCAGCGTGCCCTACTTGACCTCATAACGTGTTTTGATTCTGAATCTGACGCTGAATCCGTCGCTGAATATGTCGCACGCTGAATACGTATATCGCGCTGAATACGTCAATGTGTCTTCACGTCAATACCTACGCAAAACCCACACGGACATTTTGCATTGTCTTATAATTTATACCTACGGTTCATACTGGAAAATACTGGCGACTGAAGCCACATTGGAAAGCTAAAAACGCCTAGGGTGTTTAATGTTTATTGTTTATCTATCGCAGGATTTTCCACAAGTGACATGACAGGACACAGTGCCGATCTACCCTGGCAGTTGGCACCGATCCAGTGACCCTACGCTGAGCCCCTGTTTATACGCACTTCACCCGGAGCCAGACGTATACAATCCATCACGCACACGTTATTTAAGTCAAACAAGCTCTTCAAAACTATCCGAATTGGCCAACGCTCACAGGCGTTACTTAGCAGCTTTTGTGGCTAATGTTAGGATGCCAAAGCCATTTTTACAGGCCCTACCGGGCCTTTGTAAAACGACACATATGGATGCTCAAAGTTTCTAAATTAGCCTTTACGAGGCAATCGCGTTGCTATGTTGCTGTGTAGACACAAAGCAGTTCCAGGCACCATCCATAACCACTTCGCTCGACAACCGAGCCACAGATTTGCATCGTCATCCAAACTGCGCCTGCCCTCCGCAGTGTATACCTACGTGAGTTGCATGAACGTATGGACATCGGAAACTTATCACTGGTCGTGCCTGCTGTAGTAGAGACTAGTGAGATTAGAGATTCCACCGCTCGCTGTTCAGCGGCTAAGAACATTCCATGTCGGTATTTGTTCTTGTTCGATGCAAAAAGCCTCTTGTCTAGCTACGGTCGCTGGAGTATGGACCAGAATTGGCAGGAACCCAGGAACAATGCGTAAATTATTTTAGTTTAGTCATCATGCCTTACAGTTTCGGGTAAAACATGAATAAACGGAGTTGGAGAACAGGACGAATATTGTATCCACGGAGGCATATTTTTCATGAAAGATTGCAATAAAGGCAATGCATCAAACTGGCGTCTGATGTATTCGCACGTCATGACCGTGAATGGTCATAATATAATGGTCATAACTCATAATAGCTTATGATGCGCATTGGGCACTATGAAGCTCGGATCGTAGTGCCCAATGCATTGCGTTATGTAAATAATGCTGTGCCGTTTACATGTGTGGGATTATCTATGCTTTAGTCTCATATTATAATCCCGCCCTCAAGCGCGTTTATCTTATCGATTCATACACGAACGTGAAACGTATCAATACCTAACGAACCCTACCCCAATCCGATTGTGAAAGACTTTGCAAATCGCAAATGAAAGACTTTGTCAAGTGTTAGGTGAGCCTCAACCTTATTGAAGACCAATCTGAGGGATTAAGTACTTTATTGCACAGCCTTTGCGCTTGATAGCACAGCGACAAATGACAATTGATTGCATCATCTAGAGGGGTCATTTGCCTGAAACGTTAGACACCTCTGACGTCATTCACATTCAGTCGTCGCACACACGTAAAAAGCAACTGACGTCATCTACAAACTTCAGACGGCAAATAGTTACTCACAGCTTGATCACACTTCACACATGCTCACCACAGCCCCAGTGCACAATTACACCACACCTTGGCGAGGACTACACGTCAGGCGTTACTGACGCTGACGCCGGGGAACTGGCGCCGCAGCTGCGCCAGCTGCCCCGGTGACGTCAGCACGGTGATCCGACTCAGCTGCGGGTCCGTCTCGTCCACCTCCTGCGACACCAGGTCGCAGTGGCGCAGCACCCAGGCGTAGGTGGCGCCCCCGGTCGGCGCGCGTACCACCATCGTGCGCCGGCCGGTGGCGGCCGCAAGCGCCTCCTCCAGGCGCGCGCTGAGCTCGGGCAGACCCTCGCCGCCGGTGGCAGATACACAGAGCATGCCCTCGGGCCGGTCCGGCGTCAGGTCGGCCTTGTTGCCGACGGTGACGGCCGTCTCGAGCAGTGCCGGCGGTAGGCCCAGGTGGCGCAGCGTGTCCACCACGTGCTCCGCCTGGGCGACGCGGTCCGGCTGGGACAGGTCCACCACGTGCACCAGCAGGTCGGCGGCGGCCAGCTCGCGCAGTGTGGCGCGGAACGCCTCCAGCAGCGAGGCTGGCAGCTGCGCCATGAAGCCCACCGTGTCCACCAGCACGTGCCGGAGCCGGGACGAGGCGGCGCGGTGCGCGGTGACGTCCAGCGTGGCGAACAGCCGGTCCCGGCCACGCGACGTGTCGCCGTCTGTCAGAGCACCGATCAGAGACGTCTTGCCGGCGTTCGTGTAGCCAACCACGCCGACGGTGGGCACCTGGGAGCGGCTGCGGCCGGCGCGCAGCAGCTCGCGCCGCCCCTCCAGCCGGCGCAGCTCGCGCTGCAGCCGCTGCTCCAGCAGGTCCAGCTGGTGGCGGCGCGCGGCGTTGTGCTGGCCCGAGGCGCGCAGCCGGGAGCGCTGGTAGGGCAGCTGCGCCAGCGCCACCTGCAGGCGCGCCGCGCGGCTGGACGCGTGCTGCCGGAAGATGCGCAGCACCAGTCCGTAGCGGTCGATCACGGGCAGCCGGAGGGCGGTCTCCAGTTCGGCCTGCTGCAGGCCGCTCAGCTGCTGAACGTTCACCAGCACCCCGGTGGCGGCCGGCAGCCGGCGCAGCCGCTCCTGCAGCGCGCGCAGCTGGCCGCTGCCCAGCACCGTCTTGGAGCGGGCGTTCAACACCGGCTGCCGGAGCGTGTCCAGCACGCGCCAGCCGGGCAGCGAGCGCACCAGCGCGGCCGCCTCGGCCAGTAGCAGGTCGGCCCGCTCGGCCGGCTGCCGCTCTGAGCCGCGCTTGGTCTGCGGGTGCAGCAGCAGCAGCCGGTGTGCGCCGTCCCCCGGGCCGCCGCCCGGCCCCGGGCCCAGCTCCTCCAGCGGGTCCCAGTCGTCCTCCGGCGGCGGCGACTCCGAGCACAGCCCGCGGCACAGCGGCGGGGAGAGCTGGAGCGCGGCGGGGAGATGCCTGCTCGCAGCCCTCTGCTGGGTCTGCACAACTCCGTGTGACAGCAGGCAGCGAGCATGGTGGGCACTCTGGTACAGTCGTATTATCACGGAGCACCACATTGTTTCTTTGTAAACAGTTAACCAGAAAAATGTTAACACATCATATGCAATTACTTTTTGCCATAAAGAATGTCAAATAAAAGAAAAACTTCTTCAACTCTCTTCTAACTTCTGAGAGCTGTAACAATTTACAATTATAAGGTTTTACTGTTTAGCAATCCACAATCTTCATCAACAGCACATTGACATATTTGAGTACTAATGCCCAAGGTGTATGTAATCTTGCAATTTGCATGTATCCAAGACACTGAAAAAGCATCATTACTTATCAACATGACTCATTGCACCCAAATAGATAGGTGCTGCAAAACCATTTTGATTAGTGAGTACTGGCCTACTTGTGTGTAGGTAAATAAACTGAAGTGAATAACAGGTGTGATGATGATACCTCAGTTTCTCAGTCCAAGCTTTCTCAAATTGCTTATAAGAAGAAAAACACAGTCAAATTCCTACTATGAGTCACCAATGACTCACATGAATAGCTATCTACCATTGCCATTGTCATTGAATATAGAGGTTTGGACATTACACATACTAAGCCTCTGAGCTCATGAATGACTTGCCCGCTAGCAGTCTTTGGCATTAGTAGAGCAGATGTCACACAAATGTTTTCCGAGGAGAGGCGCTGTACTTGCAGCTTTGTTGGTTGTAATGTAGGTTTGTAGGTTGTAGCTTTTTAGGTTTTAGGTTAGGTAAGGTTAGGTCAGGTTAGGTAAGGTTAATTTATGTTTTGTTAGAAAGAAGCAACTTGAACTCCGGCCCCCGGGTATAGCACCCCTCCTTGATTGGAAAACCTTCGTGTGATGACTGCTCTACTAAAACCCAGCCCTTTTTATCACAAGTGATTATTTTTGCCTTCAATAATAAACATTTCAATTTAGATTTAGGCCTGCTTGACAGAGGGAGAATGAGATTGAGATTGAGTGACGATCACAATCGCAGTTCCCATCCCAGCCCACATTCCATAACAATAAAACACCCCATATTATTGCTGAATGTATGATACACATTTCTACATCACTCATAAACAAAAGCGAGGTAAAATATAGACTAGAAACATATATATTACCTCCGATTCTGCTTTTTGGCCTACGCGCACGGCCAAGAACGCAGAGTATATTTTGTCTGTACTGCGTCAAAATCAGGACGCACGAGAGCTGCCATATGTGCCATATCAAGGCTAGCAAATAAAGGATTTCGGGCAAAGATCGGACCAGTCTATTAGTAAAGTAACCATGGTCCATTCTTCTTTCCTATTCGCTTATCTTGCTCTAGAACTCATCACAAAAAAGACAAAAATGAGAGCCGTCCTAGGGCAGGACTGCGTGCGACTACACTGGCCAATCATTAAACTGTGACAATCTCTATGGACTGCCGAGTGGCGATCAATTAATGACTATGTGCTAGGATGTTTCGACTTTCGATTGCCCAATACACATTGATCACATTTATGCTTTTCCACATTTAATCACACACCATCTTAAATAATTACGAGCGAGCGAGCGCAGCGAGCGAAGTGAGTCTTTTCAATATAACGGAAAAATCTCAGTATGAGCGGCCCGGCCCGGCCCGGCCCGGCCTGTAACGCTTTTGAGAGGCTTATATCTCAGCAACCGCTGGACCGATTGGCCTGCGGTCTTTTTTGTTGGGTAGCCCCATCCCTTCTACCCCGTAATTGACTACTTTTGATACATCTCAGCAGGGCTGCGGAGTCGGAGTCGGAGTCGGAGTCGGAGTCGGTCGGAGTCGACAGTTGTGACCGGAGTCGGAGTCGGAGTCGGAGTCGGAGTCGATTTTAGAAACCCGAGCCGGAGTCGGAGTCGGAGTCACCGAAAATCTGTCGACTCCGCAGCCCTGCTAGGTCTGCGGAGTCGGAGTCGGGAGTTGGAGTCGGTCGGAGTCGACAATTCTGCCCGGAGTCGGAGTCGGAGTCGGAGCTGGTTTTTGAAAGCCGGAGTCGGAGTCGGAGTCGGAGTCGCCGAAAATCCATCGACTCCGCAGCCCTGCATCTCAGTGACCGTCGTGGCACGTGCCACGTGAAAAGTCAAGGGTGTTCAAGCTGTTTTGCAAAAGTAGTGATTTTGAGAGGCTCATATCTCAGCAGCCGCTTGGGCGATTGACTTGCGGTAATTTTTGTAGGGTAGCAGCATCCCTTCTACCCAAAATAGGATAGTCTCGATGCATGTAGGTCACCCCCAGTGCGCGTGCAAAATACAACAATAAGAGGTGCCAAATTTGTTCCCATTTCAGTAACTCGGTAATTACTGGGGCAATTTCGCTGAAACTTGGCATACAGGTAGGCACCCACCAGGCAATGCATTCCCATGTGTTGCGGTTAGGGTGCTACTGCACGTGCGCACGTGCAGGGGGCGTTTCCAGATCTCGAGAACGGCTGGGCCGATTGCGCTCAAATTTGGTACACGGTTGGGGACCAGTTAGTAGGGTGCCGTGCAAAAGTCATTTTGGACCCCGTTTGCACGTGCGCACGTGCAGAATGCCGCTTCCAGATCTCAGGAACGGCTGGGCCGATTGCGTTCAAATTTGGCACACCGCTAGCGACCGGTTAGAAGGGTGCTTTGCGCAAGCCCGTTGGAAGCACCCTCTCGCCCTTCCGCACGTGCAGGGCTCACTATCTCGCTCGCTCGTTCTTGGCCCAAAAGGCGTTTTACTGGTATTAGTAGTAAAGTAAAATTTTGCATAGTACATGCAACTGAACTATGCAATATGTATTTCAGGCTGGAATGGCATATGGCTAGGAATAAATAACACAAATACAATCACAAATATCAACAAGAATGAATCCAATTCAGACATACGTGGGCAAAAACTCGTAAAACTAGGATCAACTGATACCAATTTGCATTTATCTTGCCACTAAATACCATCGTACTAGCCAGTTGGACAAAATCCATAAAAAATGGCCTACATTCATTCCTATAGCACAGCCGGATGCTTTAAATAGTACGAGACTTTTTTACAGTAGATGCACCCGATCTTACCAATACCGTAAGCCAATGGCCAATCACCAATTGTGTCACATGCAGCCGAAACAAAATAAGAATAAGGTGCGATTGCTTCGCCCTGTATCACACACAAAGGTTAGACAAACTCCATCCCCAACCGCCGCCCCCGGCACACACGGCAATTCACCACAATGTGAATGTAACAGCTCCCACACCCAGACTTCCTGTTCTTAATTCCTTTCAGCCACGATCGGCACTCGTTTGCGGGCTACGATTGGATATTGCCTGAGACTGAATGTTCCCAGTCATCTGTTTAGCTCGACTTTCTCACCATTATTCTGCAGCCTCCACCGACTGACAGTATCGCGTATACCTACGCTTCTTTCACGTCGGTAATTCTAGCATCTAACAAAACTTAAGAATCACGACAGTTGTCTTATATGTACCCAGTACCCACCCCCTTCACAACATTGCCCTCTAAATAACCACCCCCACCCCACCTGACGTCGCCCTCAGAGCAGGATTTTGTACTTGACCTGGCGCGGCACACGACTGACCACCAGTCGGCCGTCGTAGCTGAGCGACGCATACGTCCAGGGGTCGGCCGACGACCACTCGGCGGCATACACAGAGTCCTCGTGCTCCTCACAGCAGGCCAGCTGACCGTCCGCCAGCTGAGCCCTGTGACGTCATAGACACGTCATAAGACGGTAGGAAACAAAGCGGCAGCCGAGCCCTGTCCATGGTTAGGTAACGCCAGTAGCACGCTAGATAACGGTACGGTGTCAACGTCCAGCAAGTGAAAAGCAAAAGCAAAATTATTGTATTTAAATAAATGGCTTAGATAAAGAAACGAAAAGAAAAAAGGGCGTTTTACAAACTATCATATCAAGGAAAAATACCACCTCCCGGCTTAATCCACTATCTTTTTTAGCCAGTCCGGTACAGACTTCCCTGCCCTCGACCTCCTCCTTCCGCGCAAACCCTGGAGCCCACCGGGGGAACGCCGGACACTACCGCGCCTTCTCTGTCTCCACGGGGCCTAAAAACCCACTCGGAGTGTGCAGTCCCTTCCCTCATTTCCCTCGCCCCATGTGAAAAGCAATCAGTAGCTAACCAAAACCTACGGCCGAACGGGAGCTGTCCGAACGGGATTTTCTCCTAGTTCCCAATAACTAACTGCTAGCAGACCAAACTGTTCCCTCAAATTTCCCAACCTTCCCCTAGTCCTCCCGGCTCCCCTTTTATGGACCCTGAACGTTACATTCTCCCTGTTACCCACCCAGAGTGCGCCAATGCCCTCCCCACCTCCCTGTAACTTAGCCGGAGTGCGAGACGCACCTACCCTATAATCTCCCTTCAACCCTCCCGCAGGCAGGACGCCCCATACCCTATAATCTCCCTGTACCCACCCTGACTGCGCCGGTCCTTCGTCGTCGTCATCCAGCAGGTGGCCGTACGGCTCGGAGCTCAGTGACGCCGCTGACGTCAGCAGCACGCGCCAGTCACTCGATGACGTAAGCACCAGCTGATCGTGGAAGTGGTTGAAACGCACGCGCCACACCCTGGTAGGTAGAAGTGTGGGCGTTAGCAGGGAGGATGTTTTGGAGAAAGGCGGATACAGGAATCACATTTTGTATCACTTTTACAGATATGGCTAATTTGATGTTTCGTTTTATTTCAATAAATCAGTTACACATATTTGGTCGGCGTTCTTAGATCAAATCCATACGATTCATGAGCGTCTTGGGGTGTTTGACTCATTTCACCCACATACTCTTCTCCTCAGGTGTTAAACGTTTTAAAGAGACGTCGCTGTCTTACCAGTGTGAATGATCGACGAGCACCTTGAGGGGAGCTGTCGGCTTGCGGATGTCCCAGAACTTGACCCTGCAGTCGTCCCCGCACGTCGCAAGGTAGTACTGCTTGTTCGGGTTAAAGTCCAGGTCTCTGACGGTCGAAAGCAGATGTTTCAGGATCGATAATGCCAAAAATCACGTTCTTATTGGCGTGCTAATAGATTTATGAAAGGCTGCATTTATAAAAGAAGTGTTTTCAGTCAAGGAATAAATAAATGCCCCATATTTTGATGAAACATTATCAAAAAATTGATGGTGTGATGTATAAGCAATTTTGTTTAGTTTACATGCTGAGTACGTACTTATTTGTGCGCATCATTGTGATAATGCACGAATTCATGCACATGCCATAATTGTTTAAATAACGACCACAGCTTCCCACGGCGACGAGCCTCTGGTGCCTCACCTAACCAGCTGTGCGTCGGCGTTCTCGACGGTCCAGGCCTGCTGGCCGCAGCGCAGGTCGAAGCCACGCACGTGCGTGTCACAGGCGGCCGCCACCTGACTGCAGCACTGGTGGGGGTTCCATCGAGCGCCTTTGAGGGCCGACTGCGCCCGGCCCGGGCACGGGATCTCACTGGATACCTGCCGGGGGGGGGGGGGGGGAGGTGGGGATAGTCAGTGTGACGTATGTGGCGAGTATTCCGTCGATTAGGTTGGATAAACTAATGTGTTTTAGATACGAATATGAAACAGCACTAACGTAGGTTATGATTTTCCGGAACCCATGGCAATAAACTAAAACACACAATTTTACTTTATTGCGAGGTAACTTTTCAACGTTTCCCAGCAAATTATTGTTCACGTTTAAGTGTTCTTGCACGTCCCACAAACACAATAAATCTCACACCAATAACAGGGCGATAAATCTGAGTCGCCTCACTCACCGCGGCTGCGCCTCGTCCGGTGTCGAGGTCCCAGACGGTCAGCTGGTGCTCGCCGACTCCCAGCAGCTGAGAGCCGTCCATCAGCTGCCACTGCACGCTACTGATGTCCTCCTGAGGCAGACGAGCAGAGGACGTGACGTCATATGGGGGATAGAAGTGTGGTCACACGGGGACACAGGTGAGCTGCTGAGGTGACATCACACGGAAACGCGAAATTATGGAGGGAAGCGGAGAAAGAGACATGACATCAGAAAAAGTCTAGGAGGAAAGAAAAACGAAAGAGTCGTTAGAAAGGGAACAGAGTAACACGCATGACGTTGCATGACAGACAGCCCAAAAATAGTCGGCAGTCCGAGAGGGGTTATAAATATACAACAGACACGGCTCATCGAATCCAATGACGAATAAGGAGAACGGCCATCGGGATTATGCTTAACTACTTCACTACAAAATGCGCTGAATTACTGTAGTCTGCCTTACTGTGGCTGCACCCCTCAATCTGTCCCAATTTCCTCGAACGCTCACAGCCCCGCCTACCTGCGCCTGCAGCCCCGCCCACCTGCGCCCACAGCCCCGCCTACCTTCGCCCGCAGCCCCTACTACATTCGCCCACAGCCCCGCCCACCTGCGCCTGCAGCTCGAGCAGCTGCGTCAGCGCCGGTGCGCCGGTGTCGTCCTCAGAGTCCTCGGGCGGCAGCGACCAGACGGCGGCGGCCAGGCGGCTCGAGCCCTCCTCCAGCCGGCCGAAACACGAGCTGAAGTGGCGCCGGTCGGTGGGCGAGCACGCCAGGTGCCACACCTCGCCGGCAGGGTGCGAAAAAACCTGAGAGGGGGGAGGGGAGGGGCGTTAGTGTGGTGAGGGTGGTAAATAGGGGGATGGTTGGCGAGTGGTAGAATGGAATACAGGCGAGTTTTACCGCTGTGATTAGTGAGATGCTAGGCAACTGAGGAAAACCGTAAAAAAAGAACGAAAACATAGGAGACGAGACGAGTGTATGGCGTTGGTCTCTTCTACCAGGCAAATGAATGAATGAATGACTGAATCTATCAATCAACCATTGAATGAGCATTGAGCAAATAAATGAAAGGCAACTGAATAAATGGACAACTAAAATGACCGAATGCTTCATCATGTTAAAAGATAATTAAACAAATAATCATTTATTTACCCCGCGTTCGATGTCTCTCGGACGACGAAGATTCTACGTCGTCCGGCCAATCCCGTCCAAGCGGGGGCTCGGCTGCGGTTATGGAACGTGATAGGCCGGACGGCGTAGAATCTTCGCCGTCCGAGAGACATCGAACGCGGGTTAAAAATTCACGAAAGAATGAATAAATGAAGCATGAATGAAAGAGCAACACATAATACAATGTTGTAATACAGATATATTCATAAACAAAGAAATTGGAGTCGCAAAGGCAAAATATAATCCACTTCGGTGCATAATTCAAACAGCAAGGCGAAATGCACGGGTCAGCCCACCCAGGGTATACCTACTGAGAGACCACCAGCCCACCTGTTTATTGAGTGCTCCTGTGTCCTCATCAAGGTGCAGCAGGTGAATCTGGTTGGTGTACTTGAGCGACCGAGTGCCCACCATAAACAGCACGTCATCGGTGCCTCCCTGGACGGCCGCCAGCGCGCGCGACTGTCGACAGCGGAGCACCGCCATACAGAGACGTCAATCAGGGCAAATCGTCAGTGGATGATAATTAGAAACAATAATTACGATGGCAATACATGACCAAGGGGCATAGTCCATTGTAACAGACAGGTGCAGCATATAGCAAAACATTATAATTACGATGTGTTCAAACGCTTAGGTAATCAAAACCACCGCTGAAAGTTCACTCGTTACGAGATAGCAAACAGTAACGTGCCGAACGGTCCTTCGCAGTGGCGATGTCACAAAAATGATACCCAACTTTTTATTTACCTGGAACTCCAGACCGTAGATAACGGGCGCGTCATCCTCCATCCTCTAAAAGACAAATTATAGCTTCGGAACTTTCAACCTCAATCTGGTTATTCAAACCTGTCCTGAAAAATAGCAGTCATCGTCATCGTTGTGGTCATGATGCAGGTTGAAGCAAAAGACATCCAACCATTCAACGGCAACACCACGGCATCCAATGTAGGTAAATTGCTCGACGAATCAGTAATCACAGACAACTTGAGTAACTATCATTGCAATTGCATCACGAAAAACCTTCCACAAGTGTCCAATGCGAAAGCCAGGCATCGCTAAACCGTTCACTGGCGAACCGCACACCCCACGTGAATTCCACCGATGAAAAGCACCACAACGTCAGCAAACTGGCAGCACGCCGATGGAAAACAGACAGCGAACGGCGCTCCAGCTAGCGTTCGGTGACCTTGCAAGGTCATGACCGCTGTCCTTTGCCTGGGTCAGTCACGTGACTGACCGCCGCCGGCGCTCGGCGGGGGTCAGTCTCGTATCGGCGGACCAGCGGAACGGCGCGGCGGTCTGCTGGTCTCGTCGGCCCGGGTGCGACCGTTTACCTCAACGGTAGGTATTTATCGTTAAAATGGTAGGGTTTCGCTATTGGTGAGGCATGCCCATTGGCCATGAATAATAGGGTCCAGAAAAAGCCTATCCTAACGGCTTACAGTGTTGGTAAGTGGTAACAAACCTACAGATTCTTTGAGAATAAAAGACGTCCAAGCCAATTAAAGTATTCACCCGCACCGGGCCGGGGGGGGGGGGGGATTTTAACACACCCCCAGACCCCCTGCTGTTTCTAGCACAGCTATTTGCTTATGAAAAAAGCTAAGCTTTCTGGATATGGATTGCTTTTCCATGCGTTTTTCTAGCTAGGTATCATAGTTCCTGAGATAAGGGCATGTTTTCTGATAAATATAATGACATTTGCAAATTTTGACCTTTGATGACCTCTGATGACCCCAATTTTGCTCTAAGATGAAAAATGACTGAAATACTTTCAAACGTATGCATTGAGAGCTATCGACTGCTTTTTACCGCGTCTTTCTAGCCCTCTTAGTTTTTTAGTTAAAGGTGGGTGGTAAGATATGCCCCCCCCCCCACTATAGCAAAGTTGGCTGAGACCGTCACTGGGCCTGGGGCGCGGGTTAAAATGCTGTTAAAAACTGTTTATCACTGCTTTGGTCTTTAATTCTAATGACATGCTGACTTCAAGCAGTCAGCCAAGCCAATCTTCAGATCAAGATTCAGAAGTGGCTCAGCCCTACAACTTACAAGCTTGCACACTTAGACTCCAAATGAACTGTGCCAGAAACCCTTGAAACTGGTTTCATTGAAACACAAAAATAAATGTGAACAGAACCATTTACAAGATTTAAACCTCGGTAACACTGAAAACCAATTTTCCCTCAATCTTCTTGTTGACACTGCCAGAAGTACCATGGACAAAATTTAGGCATTCATTTACCATTCGGAACTTAATATTGATACAAGCAAAGGCTATTATATTTCAATGATAATTATTAGGCCATTCCTGAGATGCAGAAACCACCCTGAGGCCTGATGGCTGACCTGAGTGGCCTGTATCAAACTGTGGCCTGATAACGACTGCCGGCTTTAGCATGCGACTCAAAATTTAATAACAAAAATAGGTGCTTTAATAAAAATATGGAGCAGGTATGAAAAACGTACCTAAAATAAATTTCATAAAAATGTCAAAATTGAAATGCCGTGAAAAGAACACTACCATACAAATCCCGTGCCAATCATCACAACCGTTGCAGAAAAAATGATATCGTCAATGAAAAGACTCTGAAAATTTTCATTTCTTACCAGGTATTCCGTAAAAGAAGCTACCTGTAATTAAAAAAAAAATATGAAACCAACTGAAACGACACCACCCCACGCACTGCTTGTGTTACTCGTCGGCACGGTATATCTCGTCGGTTTTGAAAAAGTTGCGCTAGATTGAGCCACAAGAACTAGTGCCATATGAAGAGAATTTCACTTTTCCTTTATAATGCTTTATTTTAGAGGAAAAGTATAGGTTTTTGGGATGACTTCAGCACGCATGTAAATTTTGTGTAGAGGAAAAGTGAAGGAAATATCAATTTGCTAGGAAGAAGTGAAAGTATTTATCCTGCAGCATTGGTTGAGCACGCAGGCACCGGACAGGGAGGACGTCAAATGTGTGAACTGTGGACTGAAGGCCTTGCGATGCATTTTTTGGTAAATGATGGATAATAGATCCGTAGTGTGAATACTGAATGTATACATTGACGACTGTATATCAATACTGATACCAATACTGGTCGGTGCTGTGAAGCAATGTTTCAGGCTCCCACTTCAACTTATTCCCTGAGGTGAAGCCCTCTCGTCAGCCACTTCAACTTGTGGAGCAGTATAACTCAAAAGCCAAGAGTTAGATGTTCTCAGTTTATATAGGAGCATTTGGATTTAGCAGTATGTTCCAGGCTGGGGTTCCTTGCCTATATGGATTCAGTCATTATCTTGCCAGACTGCAATTTGCCTAAAGCCTATGGTAATTTCAATTGCATCTTGCATGTGCGAACGGGCACTCCGTGGGTGTGCAGGCACCTTATTCACCTTATGCAGATGTGTAGAATGTTGCCAAGGGAGCTATACCGGGCTTTGCAAAAGTTCTGTTACACTTTCTTTTTCTTCATTTTGAGGGGTTTACAGGTCTGGGCCAAACGTTTCGGCGATATCAGTTGAAAATTCTGCTTATTAGAGACATGGTACCATAACGAATTTAACTTTCTTTTGCAGTTATATCAAAATGGAGGCCAAGAGAATAGAGATAGCCGATTTGCTCCGCGCGCAGCATACCAAAGCTTTCATTGTCAAGCACCTGAAAGTCAGTCGGATGACCGTCCACAGAGTTGCGGACAGGCTCAAGAGCGGAGAAGGTCTCAAAGATCGACCCCGTACCGGCAGACCTCGAGTAGTGAGCCGACTGGCCGTAAAACGGGCATTCGAACGCAACCCAAGGCTGAAAATGACTGAGGTCGCGAAACGCAAGAAGACTTCGGTCGCCACGGTGTCCAGGGCCGTCAAGAACCAGGGTGGAAAGAGCCTACGACTCCTGGAAGGGCCTCTGCTCACTGCCCGAATGCGGGAGCAGCGCCGCGACCGCTGTCAGCGCCTGCTCAGCGACCTGAAGAGCAACGTAAAACGCGTCCTCATCTTCTCTGATGAGAAAACCTTCACGGTTGACCCGGTCGTGAACAAGCAGAACGACCGCGTCGTCACCTTTGGGAACGATGTTTCCGAGGTCCGCCGCGTGTCAAAGACCAAACATCCGGCCTCCGTGATGATGCAACTCTGTGGACGGTCATCCGACTGACTTTCAGGTGCTTGGCAAAGAAAGCTTTGGTATGCTGCGCGCGGAGCAAAGCGGCTATCTCTATTCTCTTGGCCTCCATTTTGATATAACTGCAAAAGAAGGTTAAATTCGTCATGGTACCATGTCTCTAATAAGCAGAATTTTCAATTGATATCGCCGAAACGTTTGGCCCAGACCTGTAAACCCCTCAAAATTAAGAAAAAGAAAGTGTAACAGAACTTTTGCAAAGCCCGGTATGTGCACATTTAATGATTTACTAAAATGAAACTAAGGTTATGTCAGCCTCTGGCCATACATTTTAGTCATTTGTGACTGCAAAAAAATGTGTTCATTCTAGGTGGCTATAGTTTTTTTTCTTCTCTACTTTTCTAGCTCTCAATATTCAGGCCCTTTTTATTTAATGAATATTTTAAGAATATCAGTTAAATAAAACGGAAAGTCAGGCCAAAATGTCATGCTTTGATGCATTAGCAGGATTTAATTTATTTATTTGAAATCAGAAAGACTTGTTTTGATTTTCATTTCCATAAACCTATGCAATTTGGACATGCATGACTCAGAGGTCATCAATTAATAGTTCATTAGGTGATAAACTGATTTTAACTTATCCATGCAGCAGAGTTATCATTTCTTATTGTACCGGCAGTAGAATCCATCAGGCATAAAAGCTAACCCGCGCCCCGCTGGGGAGGGGGGGGGGGGCAGGATCTGTCCCCTCCCGTTTTTCGCCAATAACTTCTAAACGCGTTACGCCAGCGACGTCAAACTTTCAGTACCTTATCATACATCGATTTGACACGTTCCCTGAAAATTTGAGCGAAATCCATATGAAAGTTTTTGAGAAAATGACGTTTTAGTGACGTCATGTTCGCAATTTTCGCCTAAAAAACGGCAAAATTTCAAACGCCGCTAACATCTTCATTTTTAAAGGAATCAAGACGTAACAAAAAGATTATACGTGATTCTACTTTGTCTATCAAATGGCTATCTCGGTTTTTTGAAATTTTTGGATTTTGGCCCAAATGTTTTCAAAAACTGACTTGGGGAAAATAATTATAAAATCCGAAATTTTGAGTGAATCGAAAAAAACGAAATATATGTCAGAGAACTGGTCTATGTGCACCTACATACCAATTTTTAGAAGAATCGGTTCAAAAATGTGGGAGTTATTCAAAATTTTATGACTCACGAGTCACGACACACACAATTTTCGAAAAATGAATTTTTTGGAAGTTCTAGACCTCGTACGGAAACAAAAATAGCACCATTCGATACGCCGTGAAAAACTGCTTCAGATAGACACCTTTTTAGGCCTTAACAACTAGCTTCAAAATTTGATCTCACTTGACCTGACCTTGACCTGACCTCGACCTGAAATTCATCCAGATGTGGTCCATATCACTTATTGAGTGTGCCTATTGAATTATATGAATAAAATGACCCATAAAACATGTGTCGCACATCAACATGTCCTTTTCTATATTTCGTTTTTGGTGACCTGACCTGACCTTGACGCTTGACCTTTGCATAATATTGTATGCAACGAATATTGTCTTGGTAGCCTAAGAACACGTTTTGGGCAATCAGTCTCAGTCCATTCTTCGGCAACTACGGTGCAAGGCCGATACTGTAGAAACTTGCATTTTGTACCCTTGACCTGACCTTGACCTGACCTCTGACCTACTTCAGCAAAAAATTTGGGCTCTTAAGATCCGCCTTGTTGAGAGCTTTTGATTGCCGTTTTCCCCGTCTTTCTACGACCATCGGTTCGGAAGTTAGACGGGGGGGGGGGCAGAAATCAGAATTCTGCCCCCCCCCCCCTCCCAGCAGGGCGCGTATGGCTGAATAGCCCAGCGGGGCGCGGGTTAAAACTCAAATTTGTTGATCCTCTTTGTTTCCATAGTAAATCACCATATGCTTATTGCTTACCTGTGTTGTCGGTTCATTGCTCAGTTCGGATAGGTCTGCATTGAACACTTTTGGTGAGAAACCAGTTTTGAGCTACTCCTGATCTCAATATAGGTACGAGTCTTTGGGATGGAGAGCCTCTGGCCATTAGGAGCAACCATGGCCAGTTGAATTGAGTGAGACTGAAGATTGGCATTGTCCGATTTCGATCGGTGTTTCAAACTCTAATTTCAAACCAATCCTCATTACCTGCCATTGCACGATCGACGACGGCAACCAGCCCCCACAAACAGCCTGCTGGTGTGCTGAGACTATTAATGCATCCGCTCACACATTCAAACAATTTTTTTTTTAATGTAACATTAACACGAACGAAATAAACATTTTCACATTTGATGTTCATGCATTCAATCTACGACTGTCCAGTATCCTTTACGATTTTTTAATTCTTAGCCACAGTGAACAGTGACAATCAGCTGACATTCTCCTGCTTTTCTCGTTGCAGGGCCGATGACGACCAGTCGACCTAGTGACGTCATCAACAGCGGGGCTCGGTGACGGTGCACCGCACCTTCAGTGTCTCCTGGAGCGGCCGCGCGCCATGGCGGGGCTGCGCTGGTGCCTGGTGGTACTCCTAGCGCTTCTGACAGCGCTGGCGTCACTCGGTGATGAGGTGCCCGGGGAGGGCGCGGCCACAGACCACGAGGGGCACGCCAACTGCCAACCTGGTGTCGGCCAGAGAGTGCAGGTCGAGTTCGCCTCCAGCGTCGTGGAGCATGGTACGTGACGTCCGGGTGGCGCTGGGCGCAGGTGTATGTGGCATGTGCTGTCACGATGGTGCTAGGGGCGAAGACGAAGACTGATTATGTAGTGCCGTGAATATAAAGCATGCAAAACAAATTGTAAAGCGTAGGTACAAAACAAGTTGGCACAATTAACTAAAATTAAATTACAGTAGATACCAATAACAAATTAAGGTATCTATCATTGCATAGAGCTTGATATCCAGTAGTGAAGCTTCATAAGCTTACAAGGAACATTTGTCGTATATACCAGTGTTGTATTGAGTCTGATGATGATGCTTGCACGTGAAGTCATGTGGCACCATTTGACGAATGCTCACTGACCTCAGAGTACATTGTGGGCTTCAACAACTACTACACGAAGGAGGCGCGGCGCAACTTCATCACGGCGGCGCTGAACCACTCGGGCGTGGTCCAGTGGAAGATCCTGCCGCGCGACAACCCGGCCAAACACCTGCCCAGCGACTTCGACGTGCTCGAGGTGGGAACTCGGCGCTGATATTTTTCGAAAGACGAGCCTGTGTCTGACTAGTTTCATCGCTAAGCTGTCTGGAAAAGATCCATTCAAATGGAGCTTAACCTCTCAGGCGTTTGAATAGCCTGTGGGGTTTAGTTGGTGCTGAGCTCTTCATGGTTTCGTGAAGAAATAAGCACCGAATAGAAGAAATGAGTTTCCTGTCAGGTGCTTCGTGAGCTAGCCTCGAACCGATGCTCATATATGCTTATGTTGGATCTTGTTCCTCATAGCGTATTCTTCATCTCGCTCACACGTGAAAGAGCTTCTCTTTTTGGCTGTACCGTTTGTTTTTAAGGTTAACAAGTTTTTGCAACTTGCAATGCCGATCAGTGATAAACTTCATTTTTAAATGTGTTTTGTCGTTGCTCGCTATTCAATTCCTATCGATTTGCATTTTGTTGTATTAATTCACTTTCGGTGTAACCATTTCTAATCTACCTCACCCCAAAACTCGAAATCTAAACTTGTCTGCCCCTACCCTATACATGAACCTGACCAGACCCATACGCTGGTCTTACCCCAGATCCGAGAGTCTGACCCGGGCACCGGTCTGGCGGCGCTGGAGCGTCATCCCAACGTGCGCCGGGTCACCCGGCAGCGTCTGGTCGTGCGGACGCTGAAGTTCGTCAGCGTCAACGAGACTGAGCTGGCGAGTGAGGACGCGCCGGAGGCAGACGAGGAGGAAGAGGATGTCGGAGACGCTGCGGAAGAAGGCGCCGAAGAGCCGTTGGAAGGGAGTGAGGAGGGTGACGCCGCTGCGGTGGAGGAGGGGGATGAAGAAGAGGTGGCCAGTGTCAAGTTTCAGCCTCCACGGCGGTCCTTTACGTTGGTGAGTGGAAGAGAAGGATTGGATTGGGATGCAGTGCAGTCTGCAAGTATGTGTTTGTTGCATAGTATTTGGCATTTTTAATTGGTATGCTCCGCCTCCAATGCATGTTATCTCGGTAGTGTGCCTGATATTCCCAATATTTGTTCCAATATCCACCATAATTGATCTATTTGCCATTATGCTTCTGGCGTTTGGTTGTCTCATTAATTGGATAGGCGAATACCTTTTTTTGTCGGGCCACCTTGTAAAACACTTTCTCCATTGCAGGGCAACAAGGCGTTCTGGCATTCGACGGGGCGTCACAACGGCAGGAAGCTACTGAAGGCGGTGCCCCGTCAGGTCACGTCCATACTGCAGGCGGACAGACTCTGGAAACAGTTTGGCTTCACAGGTGGGTAATGGGCCGGCCCAAGGTGAATGGAAATGAGACGAGTCTAGTAGGGTCGCGTAACCGCTTGCGTCAACATCTAGCAAAGTTTTCGATTGAGCGTGGTAATGGAATATGGGAAAAAGACCTCCCGCGCCGGGAATCGAACCCGGGCCTTTTGGGTGAAAGCCAGATATCCTAGCCACTAGACCACGCGGGACCTGGACAAATGGTCTGTTTTGGAGCTATCAAACATAAATATACTTGTATTTGGCTGCTTCCTTTGCCAGCTTGGCCATACGTCGGCCTAGAACTGCTCATGGGTCGTGTTGGGTAAGATGCTACATCTAGCGATAGATGCGTTGATAACTTGATGTCGCTGATGTATTAATTTTGCCGACTCCAGCTTTACCAGGTTTTGTGCACCATGTCCCCCTCCCCTACGACATCTGTTGCTCAACTGATAACTTACCGGCTAACGCTTTGACCTCTGACCCGGTCACCACCCCTCCCCCTGTCGCCAGGCAAAGGCGTCAAGGTGGCCATCTTCGACACGGGCCTGAAGAAGGGCCACCCTCACTTCCGCCGTGTCAAGGAGCGCACCAACTGGACCTCAGAGCGTACCCTGGACGACGCCGTCGGGCACGGCACCTTCGTGACGGGCGTGATCGCCAGCCAGGCCGACTGTCTGGGCTTCGCGCCCGACGCCGAGCTGCACATCTTCCGCATCTTCACCAAGAAGCAGGTTAGTTGGAGCGGAGAGGAGTCCGGGGAACAGGGCAGGCTAGGGTGACAAGGGTTGGGGGCTGGGGAGAGGGGTCGATGGTTCGACGGCAAATAGCGAGAAATTGGACTGATATTGATTTTTAACACGCGAGACTCGAACTTTTCAGAACATGTAGGAATCCATTTATTGCGGTTATGCGTCGCGCATTTTTATGATGTCTCACCTCGCACAATTCTCTTTTAGTCAGAATGTGTATTTGAATGTATAACTCGTGAATTTTCTATCGTTCATCCCAAATAGAACCATCTGAACGTTGCTGATGCAAGGTACTAGCCACTAGTCAGTTATACTAGCCTCACCAGGGCCCAGTGCCTCCATTCTCTAATTGAGGGGAGCGTTTCGACTGCTAGGTGGTGTTGCGGCTGTCCTACCGTCTCTATCCCCGTGCTACACTGACTCCACCCCTCCGGCAGTCGTCGTTCACCTCGTGGTTTTTGGACGCGTTCAACTACGCCATCCTGAAGAAGGTGCACATCCTGAACCTGAGTATCGGCGGGCCCGACTTCACCGACCAGCCGTTCGTGGACAAGGTGTGGGAGATCACCGCTAACGGCATCATCATGGTCTCGGCCATAGGAAACGACGGACCGCTCTACGGGTAAGAGTCGGTGGGGGAAGGGAGAGGAAGAGGGAGAGGGATGGGTGGTGAGATATTGGAGGGGTGCGAAAAGGGGTTCCTTTCCTAGTGTGAGCTATTTGGTAATCAGGCGTGAGGGTCTAATGTCATTAATTTGGTACAAAGTATGATTGATAAGTTCAGACTGGTAAAAGGCATCTCGGTCTTCAATGCCTTTGAAGTGTTCCGTATAGTGTAAGGGATTAATCAGTCCCTGATTTGGGGTTTCAGCCAGTGGAAGGAGCTTGTTCTATGGATTTGCTGTTAAACATATGCACGGCTGGACCGTAAGTGACAATCTTTCCCAGCGGCCATCCGAGCAGCTATCACAACCTGCGCCGTTATTATTCCAGCGATTTTACTCCAGTCGTGTGGGTAGTTCTTGCATGTCTCAGTGTTTTTCCGTGTCCACAGAACACTGAACAATCCGGCCGATCAGCTGGACGTTATAGGTGTGGGCGGTATCAATTTCGAGGACCAGATCGCACGGTTCTCATCGCGAGGAATGACCACATGGGAGCTGCCTGCCGGCTATGGACGGGTATGTAGTCTGTAGAGGTGGGGCCTACGGGCGGGTATGTTACTATGTAGGCATGGGACATTCTTGCCGGATACGGGCGGGTATGTAGAAACTGTTTAGGTTGGGAGCTGCCTGTCTGCAGCTACGGACGGTATGTAGTTAAGGATTAATCTGTAGGCGGCACTGTGGGATCTGGCCAGTAATGTGACCGAGTGTGATAGTTCCAAAATGGGACTTGGGGTAATATTTTCACAAAATGCATGCCTATGTCAATGCTGATAAATGAAGGCACATTTCTTCGAAAGCTGCGAAGCAAGTTTTTGGTTGACTCAAGACAAAAACGAAATCTTGCATCAGCCACGCGTCCTGCACGTCAGTCCTAAGCAGACATTTCTTATCGACGTACTATTGGCACGGTGGCGTTCACCTGTCACATTTCGAAGATCGTTCTACTCTCACCCCTCCCTTGATATGCACATTGTAGCCCTGACAGTGGGACCGACCTCAGACCTCCCTCACTGACCCTGCCCGCAGTGTTACCCCTGTCTGACCCTCCACCCTCCCACTAGGCTCCTCCCTCCCCAGATGAAGCCGGACCTGGCGATCTACGGCTCGGTGGTCCGTGACCCCCCCCCCCCTGTTTGACCTGACCCAACCCCCTCCCCCTCCCTCAGGTGAAGCCGGACCTGGTGACGTATGGCTCAGCGGTGCGCGGAAGCAACGTCGGGGGCGGCTGCAAGACGCTCAGCGGCACCAGCGTCGCCTCTCCGGTAGGTGACGATACATATGTGTTATTCTTGCTCGCAGCATGTTTAAGATGTCATTCGCTCATTCACATTATTCAGCTGACCATTAGTAAGCTTTTGTGATGCTGGCTGACATTGTCACACACGTCACTTGCATTATGGCGTTCCTTTGCCACTAATGGTGATGCTGCATTATTCTACATCACCATATGGATGACGTTTTATTTAAACGAGTTTATTATAGCTGTGCCTAGTTTATTCTTTCGAAACCGTCATATAACTCGACGATGTGTGCCGCATTGCCCCACTGTCCCACGCCCATCTCCCCCACATGACGTGTCTTATGACAGGACGTGGTGGCGGATGCCGTGGCGCTGATTGTCATATTCGTCACACTTTGTGTCATTTGTCTTATCACTGCTATGCCACCTTACAGGTGGTGCAGGTTGCTGTGGCGCTGCTCATATCATATACAATGTGTCACACTATGCGTCGTATGTCTCATCACTGCTATGTCGCCTTACAGGTGGTGGCGGGTGCCGTGGCGCTGCTCATGTCCGCCGTGCTCCACCGCGGCTCCGTCATCAACCCGGCCAGCGTCAAACAGGCTCTGATGGCGTCGGCACGCCGGCTGCCCGGCGTCAGCATGTACGAACAGGGCGCCGGCAAGCTGGATCTCATCAAGGCCCACCACGTGCTGTCGCGCTATAAGCCCCAGGCCAGCCTCAGTCCCAGGTGGGTGCGACAAAACGGGATCGATGGGTGATTGGGTGGGAAAATTGAGCGGCTTTGGTGGGACATTTAATGAGAGACGTGAGTGAAACGCAGTCTAGGTGAGTGGTTTATATGACTGAAGGGCGAGATGTTTACGTAGTTTGGATGAATGATCAAATCAATAAGTGTGAATGCTACGTCTATAATGACTGATAGCATTATGTTATTCTGCGTGTGTTTTGCATGTTGTAATGTCCAGAGTGAAATCGAAAGTCAAATCGGGCCCGCGTGCGCTGTTTTGCGTATTTTTGCTGTCATTTCTCTTATTGATGTTTGAAAGGCATTCTGTCTGTAAAGATCACAATATGTTTTTCTCATTTATATATTTTGAACTTCCCAATCGAATTCCGGAGTATTTTGCTAGCTCACAATTTCCTGCGCATTCGATGAACGAATAAGCTGCGGTTATTGGAATTCCATCGGATAACATCGCCACCGAAATCAATCATTTCTTTCCGTTTGTGGCTCCTCTGCCAATCAACACAGGCACAGATAACAGTAGTACTACTGTTATCTGTGACACAGGTAATAGAAAACAGACGCGTCTGGTAAAAATCGTCTTCTTGGTTCGAATCACAAAGTTTTCGTCTTTATTTGAAATAAACACATCCACGAGGATTCTATGAACAAAACGTATGAAGCATGGTTGCACACTCACCTCTGAACCATTTTGCGAATGTGCTTTATGTCAGCTCTAATGGCGGCGCTCAGTGTCGCGCTTCACCGGCATTTGTGTGTAATGGATGTGCGCTGTTTTCTCCCAGTTGGACGGATTTCGTATGCAGCTCTCGTCTGGGGCAGCTTTCGCGTGGCAAATACGGGACTGGCGCTAAACGCTAGACTGGGTCGCTGATAGCCAGTAATGCAAAACAGGTCCGGGGTACCTTATTTTTAAACACCAACTTTGTATAAAATGTGGTTCAGATATAACTACGTCAGTAGCAGTTTCAATTATCAGCTTCTTTAGTAAAGTCCTGTGACGTTTGTCTACGGGTGCGTAACTCGTAGTTTTGTATTCTATTGGTCGGCTGACAGCGGTTTTTGGCTTGGTGCCTCTCTTTGTACTGTGTTTGATCTGAGTTTCTATCCCAGCAGTTTTATTACTGCACCTGATGAAGTTGAGCGTCAAGAGTGATTATACCGCCAAAGCTGACAGTCGTCCCCCCCCCCCCCCCCGTTCTCTCTCGACAGTTATATCGACCTGACTGAATGTCACTACATGTGGCCGTTCTGCACCCAGCCCCTGTATCACACGGGCATGCCCATCATCGTCAACGTTACCATACTCAACGGTGAGATGCCCCTGAGACTCACGCAGGCGCCGAGTTTATGACTGTTCTTTGTAGCGGGTGGTTTATGTCTGTCACACAAGATAGTGGCTCTGGCGATAATAAACACTCTGTAGAAAAGATTTGTTCTAGCTTACAATTTCGCACAGTCATTACCATGTCATTACAGGTTACCAAATGTGAGATGTCAAAGTACTTCTTGGAATGTTTTGCTGGTAGAAGAGTTGCTGAGAAGACTTGAGTTTGTCTCCTTGCTTCCCCTTCCTTTGCTTTCCATAATATCGTTCTCAGTATGTGACGCGAATGTAACAACTCAGATGAATGACTTTCATCTAGCCACCCTCTTCAGGTTGCTCACTAGTCCTCCATTGTACCCCGGTCTGCCAGGTATGGGCGTCTCTGGCCGCATCATCGAGGGCCCCACGTGGTACCCGTACCCGCGCCAGTACGGCCACCTGCTGCAGATGTCGTTCAGCCACTCTGAGGTCATCTGGCCGTGGTCGGGCTTCCTGGCCGTGTCGATAGCGGTGACAGAGGAGGGCGCCTCGTGGGACGGCCAGGTGCAGGGCCACGTCGAGCTGACCATAGAGTCGCCGCCCGAGGACGGCGACACTGAGCCGCGCCGCTCCACCGTCCGGCTGCCAGTCAAGGCCGTCATCATCGCCACGCCGCCCAGGAGGTAAAGGAAGAGGCCAGAGGGGGATGGCGCGCGAGGGACGGTGGGAGGGTGAGGTGCAATAGGGATATAAGTGCTAGGGTGCTGGGTGTGAGGAGTGATGTTCCCGGGAAGGCGGTCATCATGGCCAATCCGCCCTGGCCCCTGAAGCTGAGAGCGGGTGGGAGGGTGCGTTAGGGAGTGTGATAGGGCCACTGGGTTGGGACATTTCGTGTTTGAGGAAGGTGTGAAGAGGTGGGGGGCGTGGTAAAATGTGATCGCTGAGTGGATTGAGAGGAAAGAATTCAAGGGTAAGAGGTGTCAGGTTTTGCTTGCTATTTGGCTTTGGAAGAAAGGGAAATGTAAGGGTTGGACGGCTGAAGAAGAAGACTGGATTACTGAAGCAGCTGCCAGCTCGTGCGGGTAGGCCAGACTCATGGGTGTGACTTCGACTGGGTAGTCCGGTGTATTTTGTCGCCTTCACTGTATGTGGGGTGCTAAATGCAGGGCTGCGAAAGCCGTTAATGTCTGAAGGGGTTGACGATGTCTTTGTCAACTGGCATGCACTATGCTATAGCGAGTCTGACGTTATCCTAGACGTTGGATATCCGTTTAGACCACGTTGGCGTACCAACACACTAAATTTGGATATGTGCTGCTTACGAAAAATTCCCGGGTTTTCAGTCAAATAGTTTATTCTCAAGACCATAATATGATCTCATTCTTTGAAGGCATCATTATAATGGAATCTTCAATCTGGGATGGTATGATCAAAGCTCGCATATGCAACTCTCCTATTGTCAGAAAGCACGGCGTGTATGCAAACCGTGTGCCCAATCATATTTCATCTTCAAATACAGCAACTGTATCCGTCTGCCAGACTGCCGGAGGCGCTGAGGTGCGTTTGATGTCGTGTTCCCCATTACCCCATATGGACCACCCCTCACGTCCCATCCCATGTACCCCCTCCCCGGTATTACACCCCACCCCTACCGTTCACAGCGTGCGCGTGCTCTGGGACCAGTACCACAACCTGCGCTACCCACCGGGCTACTTCCCACGAGATATTCTGAACACGGTGCACGACCCGCTGGACTGGCTCGGAGACCACATCCATACCAACTTCAGGGTGAGCTGGAGCTTTGGCTCTGCGTGGGACTCTAATGGTTTGGTGAGCTAAACTCAGCATGGATTGTCGAATGCCAAGTGACTTTGATCCTAACCAGTGCGTCTTCGATTTGGACGAGTGTGTATGAGATATATTAGTCGTATGTGGGGTTAAACAGATGTTTTGAACGATGGGCCGGGTTACGGATCGGTTCGTTTGATAGGGATTACGACATGATCTGTGTTGCCGCCTCTATAGCAGTTATCTTTATTGGGATTTGTCAACAGTTTGATGACTGCTCCTAGCGGTATTTTGCTCGTGCCTTCCATACCATTTCTTCCATCACTTTTAAAGTAAATCTTGACTTTCTGACCTCGTGTCATCCCGCAGGACATGTACCAGTCGCTGCGCGCGCACAACTACTACGTGGAGGTCCTCGGGGAGCCCTTCACGTGTTTTGACGCCAAAAACTACGGCACGCTGCTCATTGCCGACCCCGAGGAGGAGTACTTTCCGGAAGAGGTACGTAGGTATTGCTGCGCTGTGCGCTACGAATTTCCAGGATTTGTATCGTTTTTAGATGCTGGGCTGGAGCTCATGCGAAGCCGGGTATCGTGATTGTCCATGCTATTAGAATCATGTCTCACCAGATAGGAAAATTGCTCAAAGACATGCCCTAAGGTTTGATCAAGGACATTGCGAACCTGCTCATAGGACCTGATGTAATTTTCGTTAGTTGCTGACCAGTTGTAATTTTCCTGCTGACCACTACATACCCACTATGAAGCGATACCAGCTGGTATTAATGCCCTTATCCTATCCTATAAGGGCATTAATATCCTATATCCTATTAATGCCCTATCAATTAATGCCCTTGTTTTGACGAAGCCCTCACTCGCGTCTGTCTGACAGGCTGCGAAGCTGCGCCGCGATGTGGACGAGGGACTCTCAGTACTCATTTTCGCCGAGTGGTACAACGTTCCAGTCATGAAGAAAGTCAAGTTCTTTGACGAGAACACAAAGTAAGTCGCCTCGCTGACGCAGCTCAATACCGAGTAAAAACGTTATGTCGGTGGTGTTTATCGTAGATCATTAATGTTTCTTTGTCTTTGGTAACAACAACGTTTAGTGGAGTAGTGTTACGATTAGGTATGGATGGTTTGTTGCAATTTTCTGCAACGTAGCAATTTAGAATGATGATGTCCCATTAACCGTTCGTCATTCGTCGCGTCTTCGCAGTCGTCGTTTCGCGTTAATTCGTTATGCATTTCTGTCTCTCGACTCCAAAACAGCCACTTGACTGTCCCTGTCTGACAGCAATGTCTGCCAGTGTGTTCTGTCCGTCGCCGTCTGATACTGCCACGGTCACTGTCATTGTCACTGTAATTCGTCTGTCAATGTCAAGGTCACTGTCACTGCCTGCCACTGCCACGGTTCGTTCTTGTCCTCAGAGAGTGGTGGATTCCGGATACGGGCGTTGCCAACCTGCCGGCACAGACCGACCTGTAAACACTCTCACTGTCACTGATACATCCCCTGGTGTCCTCAGGGAGTGGTGGATTCCGGACACGGGCGGCGCCAACCTGCCGGCGCTAAACGACCTGCTCGCTGCCTGGGGCATGGCCTTCAGTGACCAGGTGAGACTGCCACGGCGACCTGACAGGGGAGGGATGTGTTCGTTTTCCTCTAATTGTGGTCTATTTGACTGGCTGGCATGTGCCCTGTTGAGCTTTGATGACCTGACTGAGAAGAAAGGCGCGCGTCGGCTGACCTCTGTTGACCTGCCTAAGTTGGTTGTGTTGGGCCCAAAACTGTGATCTCTATGGTGACCTGAGGCCTGTCAAGGTGATGTGTGATGAGCCATACTGAGACTCCTTGAGCGCTTGAGTGGATTTTTAGTATCCTGGCTAGTGGAGGCAGTTACCTTAAAGGCGAACAATGAACATGCTAATGTTGCCAAAAGCAAGGAATCTTCACACACGAGCGAGCGTTTGTCGCTGGTTAATGCGTCTACCGTTGTAAGATTCCACTGAACTTGTATTACCTCACTTCGCTCACTATCCCCAAAGTACCGTACTGGAGCCATTAACTGTCATTGTCGTGAACGACTTTATAACTTGTTCATGAAATAGCAAACCGTTCGAGACTCAATTTACCGCCCAAACTTCCTCCCGGGCGGCCCCATTCAGCCGGGTGGCATAAGTTCCCGGCGAAATTTGTTCTGTCGGAACCAGGCCGGGCCGGCGGCATCAATATTCCTGACACCGGTCGCAGATTCGCTCGGTCGGCCCGTATCCGCCCCCGGGCCTCTGCCCCGCCGCTCCGTCCCTCTGTCTCCCGGGACGCGGAATCGGTGTGTATTAGGAGCCCAATCACCGGCGGCGCGTCGTCCATATCATTAGCGAGGTCACGCGTCAACGCTGTCTCTGGAGTCTCAGTCTCACCCCTCCCCCACCCTACATCCCTCCCATATGCGCGTGTCTGTGAGGATGCTGCCGCCCTCAGTCGATGTTCATCATAGGGTTTGATGTAGGTTTGATGTCAATCTTGATTCTCCCGCGACCTTGAAACAACTGCTGTGCTTTGCAGAATATGCGTATGCTGCGCAGCAACAGCAGAATGCACATGAGCTGAACGCTGAATGGGATGACTTTTGGCTGTGTTGTTAATTAATTGATGAAGAGTTGTTAGTTGTTCGGTGTCAAAGGGCTATTTTTAAAAATAAATTTCCCGTGTATAAATCCAGTCATTTATTGATTGTTCTATCGGACCTGCCACTCAAATTTAACAGCGCCAGCTCTTATCGATTTATATTTAATGCAATGTCTCACACATTCATGGGTACTGAGACTCCCATCCCTCTCACGTATCTCTCTTACTGCTCTATCGTGTCTTACCACTCCTACCTTTTCCCTGACAGGTGGTGGAGGGTGAGTACAAGTTCAACGACCACGACCAGTACTACGCGTCGGGCACGACGCTGGCACGGTTCCCGGCCGAGGGCACCGTCATCCGGCACACACTCAACGATCAGGTGTCAGAGGTGAGCGGCGCGGCTGGCGACAGGAGGCGGGATGCAGTAAAGGCTGCTGTCTAGATGAGTCTGGTCACAGATGAAACGAGCCAAGTGCCTGTGTTCTACATGGTTCATAAGCAGGCAGGCTGGTGTAGGGAACGGTTTGCATGGGCGCGAGGCAAGGTGTTCACTGGATTCTTTGTGCATCTGCATTGGTACAACTACAGTTGAACACAGCGGTGTTGATTGCATTCTATGTTCATAGCACGCACTCAATATCATCAATGTGATTTCACATTATGCTCGGCGGCTGGTGAAAATGCTCGCTGCATTGCCTGACGTTTTGCTCATCCATGACACTCTACCTGTCATTCCTCTCCTAGCCTTGGCGGACCCTGTTGTGACACATATGTGCATTTTGTCTGACAGATCCTGGAGGGCACGAAGCAGACTGTGCCGGACGCGGCCATCCTGGGTCTGTATCAGACCCGCGGCGCGGCCGGGGGCGGGCGCATCGTGCTCTACGGCGATTCTAGCTGCATCGACTCGAACCACAACCAAAAGGGTGAGTTCGGAACAACCGGAGTGGTGAGTCAATCAGAGGGGCGAGTCCGAAACGAGTCCTCGGACAGATACTAACCATAACCAAAATGGTGGGTCCGAATCACCCGGGGAGTCCCATTGGCAGGGAACTCGTCAGGCTACATTGGACCGGAACCTGAAACATAAATCTTAACCATCCGAGAGTCTTAAAACTGATTCTTACAGTTACCTGAAAAGACTGTGTCGCAACTCCTTACCCGCTTGCTTTCAAACACAAACAAGGAAGTCTTCAGACCAACTTTAACCTCAATAGAATGGCGAGATCGGACTTTTTACTTCAAAGGGAGTTTTTCTTCTTCAAAGAGGAGTTCTTCAAAGGTTTTCTGTTCTGTGCCAGTTGTGCCAACAGCGATTCGCATTGTGTATTTCATTGACTCGAGCCATCTACCGAGCTAAGAGAAGGTTGTGATGAAGGTCGTAATGAAAACGTATCTGCTTCTATCTTAGTCTGAAGACAATGTTTTTAAAACAAAACTTTAAAACGCCAAATATTTGCCGGGGAGGGGCTGCAAGTCAGTATTAAGTGCATTTGCCCGTCTTATTGTCGAGCCCTGTTTTGACGACGTCGGACGTTTCTAGTTTTCTTTTTTCCGATGAAAGGCTCTGTTACTGCTTCTTTTCTTTGTTTTTTTTTTTCGCTGAAACATTTAGCTCAATTAACAATAGAAACATTAAATTTGCTATCGATGTTCTCAGTTCCACTTCACATTATTTTTTCTGCCACTAAGCCTCCACTAAATTTCTCAGTTCGTGTACCTCCTCGTCTCCCCTCTCTGTATTCGGGCGAGCTCTCGGCGCCCATAATACAGGCGAGTCGATTTGGACAGCAACAGCCCCCGTGGCGCCCGCTAACTGCCCGCCCGGGGTCCGTTCGAGCCGTGCTGACGGCCGGCCGCACTTTTAATCGGCGCGAGTATTGACTGCCAGCACCCCATAACATGTTGTCTTTGTGTGTGTTTGTGTGCCTTTGTGAACGTATGTTTTACTTAGTTGTATGTATGTTTCATGTGTATTTGTGTCCTTTATGTGTTGATGTTATGTAGAGTTATGTTTGTTTTGTTCATCTCTGTTGTGTATTTTTGTGTGCCTGGGGGCGTCTTTCCACCGCGTTTTCCCGGCTCGTTTGATGTTGACGCGCTAACTGGGCTCTGAGCACTCTGAGACCAAGTTGGTCCGGCGCTGGACGGGCCGATTGTGTCTGAGTGAGATTTGTGGCCGCCGCTCTGGGCCGCGGCCGGTCGGTGGACAATGTTTTTCTGCCGGCGCGGTGGAAGATTGTGGACAGACGGTGGACAGATGGTCGGATGGTGGATGTGCTGTCCGTTCGCTGATTGTGTGCGTTATTGTATGCGTTAGCGTGCTTCCGTGCGGTTATAGGTGTCTGTCGGAACTCGACGTAATAGCTTCATGATTATCATCGTAAGCGATGGTGAGACGCCATTGGCGATGGACTGTAATGTCAATTAGATATCCTTTATTCAATTAGTGGCATACTGTACCATTAGCTTTAGTCACGCAACCTCGCCGCACGCAATGTGCCAGTACCCTGCATCGATACTTTGTCTTACACACTTTCTGGCCATATTTCGTGTTAGGTGTAATATCCTCATGTTCACCCTAAGTGTCCATTCCGATTATGCACCTTGACACATTTGAACCGCCGTCGATCGATCGTGTGTGCGTTCGCGTCGTTCGATGTTTGCCGGTTCGTCGTTCCGTGTCAGATTGCTCAGACACGTAGGTCGAAGCAGTCACCGGAGGTCGTTCAAGCTATCATATGCTTACTGATCCGTAAACGCGACTTGTGTAAAGTTTTGAGCCGCCAAACATTAGAGAGACTGCTGAGTGAATGGTTTTGTTTTAGGGGACTTTGTGAATCCTCAATTAAAACAATCGAACTACATTAATAACTGCGGGGATCCCAAAGAACAACACGCGAAAAGAGTTTGCAGCAATGGCCATCAATCTGGTTGACTCTTATACCGTTCTTTGTCGCAGTGTGCCAACAATATAAATGGAAGTGAAACACACGATTTATGGAATGCAAACACCAATCTATCTAGACACACTCCCACGGAATACATTTGAACCAAGTGGTAAACCGTGATAAGCCGTGATAACCTCCAATATTGTTGACCCTCAGTCCTGCAGTATTTCTTAGTGTATGTATTTACCCCGCCCTGCATCCCTCAGAGTTTTTAGCCTCACATGTCCCTTTGTGTCCAGTGTTTCACGCTGCTGTGGGTATTTTCCAGAGCATCCCCACATCTCCTTGCTGTTCAAGAGTGTTTAACGATGCTGTTGGTCTTTTCCAGACTTTCACCCCACCTCCTCTTTCCGTTCCCCAATGTACAGCCCACCGCTAAAGTAATGTGCGATTTTACCAATCTCAACGGATGGCTTTGACTGGCGATTTTTTAATATGGAGTGATCGAAAAGAAGACGTCAATAGGTAAAGTTGTAGCTGCAAGGGTGACGATACATTTAAGCAACATTCAAAGTTTCATTGTAGTCTGGCTAATCGCTGCTAAGCTTCAGAGGCAGAACATACCCATGACTGAAACCGCACATTACTTCTGCTGTGGACTGTACCATATTGCTCTTGTCCCTTCCCAGAGTATTTACCCCTCGTTCCCCAGCGTTCTCTCAGATGATTTACCCCCCCCCCCCCTCCCTCCTCGGTTCCAGAATGTTTCACGCTACTCTCGGCGCTGCTGCACTTCACGTCGTCTGGTCAGCTGCCGTCCACGCTTCAGCCGGCTACCACGGTGCCTGTACAGCCGGTCCTGGAGCTGCCTGAGCGAGCCGACGGCAGCAATCTGCACAGGTGAGGGGTGGGACAACCTGCACAGGTAAGGGGTGAGGAGAGGGCAGCAATATGCACAGGTGAGGGGTGGGGAGAGGGCAGCAACCTGCACAGGTGAGGGGTGGGGAGAGGGCAGCAATCTGCACAGGTAAGGGGTGAGGAGAGGGCAGCAATATGCACAGGTGAGGGGTGGGGAGAGGGCAGCAACCTGCACAGGTGAGGGGTGGGGAGAGGGCAGCAATCTGCACAGGTGAGGGGTGGGGAGAGGGCAGCAATCTGCACAGGTAAGGGGTGGGAAGAGGTGTACAGTGGAGAGATGCACATAATGCACCTGCACTCTACACCGCACGGAAAGGTGTGACCGGTTCGTGGCTAGAGTGCTACATGGTTGAGACCATGCAGAGCATAAGTAAATGCGTTGTCGTATTCATCATTGGGTGTCTACAGGTTGTGTAAAAATAAGCTTCCTCCCCGAGCTTAACTGACCTTTTCAGTAAAGGTTAGGCTTATGTTTGATAATGTTGGCAAGCGCTTTTTTCAGATTCGGCGACAAATATTACCAACAGACGAAAGGAATAGCCATGGGCAGTAGGGTAGCACCACCCTTAGCTATCAGCTTTATGCACGCCATTGAATCTCTGATCTTATCGGCCCCTCGTGAACAACCAGAAGTCTACCTGAGATATATCGACGACATCCTAGGCGTATGGACACACGGGGAAGAGTCACTCGACAAATATCATGAGTTTATGAACTCTGTTCACCCATCCCTGAAGTTCTCGCTAGAAAAAAAAACACCGCTTCCCTCTCCAGTGTGCCATTCTTGGACACTCTTATCACAGTGAAACCCACAGGTCAGTACGAAACAGAGCTCTACATCAAACCTATGGCCTCTCCAATCATTATCCACTTTACTTCAGCACAGCCTATGCAAGTAAAGTTAGCCGTCCTCCACTCAGAGCTTACGCGTGCGACAAGACTGGGAACGAATGACGCAGCCATACAACGAGGGAAACAAAAAATCGTAGACCTTTTTCTTGGCAATGGCTATCCACTCAGGATCATCAAACGAGCTATCTGGAAGGTAAAACACCCCGACAACCACAATGACAGAAAGGACAAAAAGGACCAAAACATCACCTTCATCTCCCTCCCATTTATTGACGACGACCTAACCCGCAAAATTAATGGAAAAGTTCGCTCATCAGGCCTCCCCATCAAAATAGCTTGGCAAAAAGGACCAACAGTATCAAACATACTCACTCATTCTGCGCTCTCATTCTGCGCTTAACCCACCTATCTGCCCTTCGGGCAACAAAAAGTGCCACGCATGTACAGCAGGACTTCAAGGGAAATGCACCACTAAAAACGTGGTATATAAAATTTGCTGCACACTCTGCCAAAATGTAGACTATATAGGCGAAACAAAAAGACCAATCAGACTCAGATACAACGAACATCTTCGTGACGCAAAAAACAAGACAGAGGACACACCATTTGGTGACCATGTGCGCACCCATCATCCTGACACCGATATAACAGCAACATCAATGCATCTAGAAATCCTTCGGAAATGTAAAGACGTAGCATCCCTTAAAATCACAGAGTCAAAATACATCAGAGACCTTCATCCCAAGCTGAACACGCAAAACTCATCGTGGAAACTCATAGCCCCACCACCTTATGGCACTCAGTAGGCCATATATAGGCTGTCAGACACTGTATAAAGTTTCATTCACTCATTCACTAAGTTGCCTATTCATTCACCGACACATTCATCATTTCAGTACCACCTGTGTATTGTAACACAACTGCACGAATATCCCGAATCGATCTGATCTTGCATGTGTGCAGCATTGTATGTTTCGTGTATTTACGAATATGCATTGATGTATGGTAGCTGTGTTTGAGAGATATATCAGGCTTGATATCCCAGAAAAAGGAAGATGCGCTTCAATGAATGTTTGTGTTTGCGAGTGTGCTAGACATTTTGAAATTTCACCACCCTTGTGGCGCAGTTGGCAACTGCGTTCGCGTTTGGTGTGGGAGGTCCTTGGATCAAAGCTGACCTCTGGCAGCGTTTTCCTCGGCCGGCTCCTACCCAGGAGATGGCAGTAACTGGGGAGTGTTCGCTCGGTCGTGGGGATTAACGCTGTGCCAACCAGCGCCCCTGGCCGCAGGTACACGGGCCTGATCCGCCTTTAAACAGATCCTTCGGTCCGGTGACATGTCCCAAGGGCACGGCCTCGCTTCATGTCCCGGAGCAGCCCTCTGACCTGCCGGGCCCGAGAAATCGGGATAGCCCCAGCGTGCGCACCAGTGCCGTGCCACCTGGGGCATGTGACAGGAAGCGTGCGGTCAAGGCTGTCCCGCGTAGCGGGTGCCGAAAACGATTCGTACCACTGCCGTGTATATAGTGTACTAACCCAGTATGAATGTGTGCTACTAACGACAAAAGCCCGAGTCGGGCACCAAAAATATTAAAAAAAAAGACATTTTGAAATTTCAAAAAATATGTCAGACTTGATAATGGGCTACGCCCGAAACTGTCGTCTCACTTTGTTATAATTATATTCGGCAATATATTGTACCTTATTATGAGGCTACGGTTTCTTTTTATCATTTTCTTTTCAGTAAAGCACGTATCACGCTATCAAACCTAGTTCAAACTTTGGTGAATAGAAAAACAAGCCAGAGCCATGCTAAGCCGCCCGAGGTGCGTAGTGATGCGGTTTAAGAGTACCAGCCCTTTGTGAGAGTTACACCGTTCATTAGCGCTAACTACCAACCTGGGTGCATTACGTCACAGTAATTAGCGAAATTAGACACCGCTGCTCGCAGCGGATGGCCGAATGTTGCAATGCGGATGGGTTCTCGCTATTTCGCATGACATTTCACAATATTTGTCAAGGCTTGCATCAGCCGGTTGAGCGCTGCATGGGTACTGGGTAAGGCACGTTGGTTCATAATTATTAAGGAGTCGAAAACGGGACACATAGAATCTTTTTTGTTGTGTTGTTTCGTCTGAGCCTTGGTCCACTGTGGCGTCTCCCGATCATTACCTTTACTTATTCACCAGAGACGAGCGTTCCGAGACAGCGAGTGTAAATGCTGCATCACTATTTATTTATTCATCCCTCTGCTGGCTAGGTGAAACGTAAATGGCAGCGCTAAGCCACAGGATGGTGACTGTATTGAGAAGATGGTCTCTCGTGATCATAATTCAATGTTATGGGCTATATATTCTCTTGGCTAGGACTTTTCATTGTCGCATGGGGAAATTTCCCCAGTCACTGTTCCGTTATTGGAGGTAACAACGTTGCACCAGGTGGATGAGCATTGCAAGATGGATGCCTGCCACTTCGATCAATTTTCGCTATCGTCATTCTGCAATCTTATTTTTGCAGTCTTGCAATCCTTTTATCGTCCCTTTCATGAATAAAGCGAGTGATTAGTTTCCAGCCCTTCCCCGTCATTCATCCTGATAAGCAATTCGTTTTCCTCGTCTCCCACATCCATCGTTAGTCTTGGACTAGTTTTTCAACCTCTCGTCATTATGTAAACTAATAGCCCAAGTATCCGCTAAAGGGAACCCATGGAGATAGCTAGTGAATGCAGCCATTTTACGGACGAGTGGCGGCATTTTGTTTATTTTGAGAAGGCATGCATGAACTATGCACATTACATGCCCATAATCTCATGGTAGTACGAGTAACGCTGTATGCTGCTCTGACCTCTGGCCTATAAGCAGAGCTAAGTATACACGAACAGCCGGATTAGAGTCACTGGCTAACGGAAATGTAATTTGTGCAAATGTCAATGAAGTTGGAGACGGAGTCGGCCTTTGTGGTTGGTGTTCTGTTGCCCTGAATAGAATCGCTGCGTAGTTTGTAGGTAGTGGAATTTATTACGAACAGGTTTGTACGAAGTAAAATTTTTGAATGAAAGCTTTGAATTAGGCTTATACACTGATGTGAAAAAAATATGCGTGAAATAATATAATCAAATAGCTACGGAAGCGAGCTTCTTCGGAATAGCTAGACCCTATTCGACAGCTGTTTTTAGACCCTTTGGTGCTTTGAACCTCTTCAATGCCGCAGTTTTCTTCATTCTGATTCTTTGACTTTCCGAACAAGCTCATTCATTGTGCTCCCAAGTGTTCGATTCTTTTCCAAATTCTTGCTTACATTTCTTCCATCTTTATTTTTCACATGTTATTTATTTCCACATTTATCACATACGGGCACGCCACCCGCTTCCCCTCTCGCCCTCCCCCGTGTGTCTGATTTCCGTGCTGTTCTCTCTCCGTCAGGCATTCGAAGGTGCTGGTGAACGACCTGGACGGCAGGACGCATCGTCCACTGCCCGCCTGTCTGGAGAGGCTGTGGGCCGTCCCGCAGCCGGTCAACCAATCCGGGCCCGTCAACCTGTACCAGGTCAGATGCCGGGAGACGCAGGGAAAAGGGAGGGAAAGAAACACACGTGGAGATGGGAAATTGCTTTTTTATTTCTGGAAAGAAAATCAGGGAAATGTGATAGGAGGAGCACAGAGACACAGAAATAGACCAGAAAAACAGGAGGCGTAAGGACCAGAAACGAATAAGGAGGCACGGATACGGTGTCGGGGCCTTTGAATGGAGACGATCTAGTCTGGAGAGACGGGGCTGGGCTGAAAATCTCAGAGGGTTCTGGAACAATGGACGGGTGGGTGTAGAAGGTTATATCTTGCTGTAAGAGGTTTGTTATTGGCTGATTATGTGTGTTAGGCCTGTTGCTTTTTGCATAATTTGGTATTTGGTTGAAGTTGAATGTGTAGGATTGGCTTCCGCTTTAATTTAAAACAGTATTATTTATTTGTCTGTTTGTCGAGTGCAGTGCTGTGGCTTTGAATTCAGTTATTTGTTTGCTGGTGATGTTTGGTCATGTTTTGGGTTTCTCGTGCCCTGTTTACCTCTGAACGGAACCACGAAGCTGAGCTGGATAATGCCTTATTGAGAAGGTTCCCCTGTGCGAGCGCTTTCGACATGAATTGAATATTCGCCACGGTGAATAGCGCTATCAAAAAGTCATTCCAATGCCCCTCAGGCCGACCGTTCTCTGTGCTATCGTCGCCGGCTTTCAAAATGGGAAATTGAATTCTTGAACGACGTTCTTGCGCGACCGGAGTAAATGGGGAAAGATCTTCATATTTGTCGTGCGGCCATAGTGCAGATGTTTCAATTTTCTTTTTTACGCTGATGCGAAAATCCCCTTTACTCAATGCAGAGCTTTTTACCTAAATTGTGTTCTTATCGGGATTGCTGTTGAATGTCGTTTGCTGGTACAAATTAGATATGATTTTAACACGGAACACGCAGTGAGCAGATGTCGACATTTTTCAGCACATTGTTGTAGGGTGAAGTCGTATAAGAGTACGCACTTAGTGGATTTCTTGCTCTCATTTGTTTAATATTTGAAAGAAAGAAATCGCAAATAGGGAATATTAAAGTTCATTGAATTAGCCATCATCCCATGGGGCAACGATCCTTCAGCGTAAATGGAAGTGGTCTAAAACTGACATTTTCTGAACCGCTGCAGTTGCGTACTCTTACCATATGGGGTGTGTAAGAGTACGCACGCCAGGCGGGTGGAGTACGTAAGCATATGAACACACACCTATGTAGCTTGTACTGTCCAAATGCTTAACTTCAAACTCAGAGGGCATTTAAGTTAATTCTAGTATCCAAAAAGAAAAACATAAAATAAATCTTTCAAGTCTATAAATCAGTAAATAATCATGTCGTGTATTTCTTTAAAAACATGCACAATCAAAAGGGAGAATAACTCGTATTTGGAAGAATTTCGGGTACGCATCTGCATCACAGTGCTCCATTGATGATATACCTACAAAACAAACGTCATTGAGCGATAGATTGATAATTGTATATTTCTGTATATTCGATTTAACCCGGCCGGGCCCGGGGGGTAATCCCAACCACCGCAGCCCGGGGGGGGGCGTTTTTCGCCCCCCCTGTCTAACTCCGTAAATAAGGGAGCTACGGAAACAAAAGCGATACCAAACGAAAGGTCCTTACGAGACGATTCTAATGCACCTAAAATTTTTGATCTCAGGTCAATTTTCAAGGTCAGAGGTCAGGGTCAAAGGCCAAAACCGGCACATGTGTAGTGATCTCAAAGTAAGCCTCCTAGAGGACGGCAGGCTGCATCAAACCGGCAAAATTGGGTGTCAAACGAAAGAAGAGAATCTGAGGATTCTGAAAATGTGCTCCAAATCAAAGGTCAAGGTCAAGGTCACGCTCAAAATTGACCTCAAACTTGGCACTTTTTCGCACATCTTGCGTGCTAACTTCCAAGATGTTTTGAAATGTTTTGAGGCTTATCAGTTCCCTATTTGTGGTTCATCTTACGATACAAGGCTGCTCAAAGGTCAAGGTCACAGAAGAGTATCCCTGCTAGAGGCTATTTCACTGATTCAAGTTAGTAATAATAAATAAGACAATTTTGCCATCCGGAAGCTCTAAATGAAGGCTTAGAGGAAAATAGATGCCAGATTCGTGATCAGCGGGTACAAATCCATCATAAACGACCTTTCATGTGTCAAGGTCAACCAGAGGTCATTCGAGGTCACATGAGGTCAACATGAAACTTGACCTTTTCCGAACAAAATATATATCATTCGACGCGGCTTGACAAGGCGAATGCGATGGTACCACTGCCGTAGCTCTAGGACCATTTTTGTCGAAGTTATTTGCGAAAAACTAAAACCACATTTCGGGGTCGTTGACCTGACCTCTGACCTCAGGTCACCAAAACTATTTTTCTATTTTTCTCTAGGTCAAACGCTACACAGCCGTGCTCGTAATTTGTCTTTATCTCTAAAACTCTATTTTTAGCAGCTATTTGAAGTTTGCGTCTGTGACGCCGAAGTTTGCCGTGCAGGGGTCTAGAAAAATGGACCTTGTGACGTCATCAATGGGGCTAGGTCCAAATTTTTTACTTCAGAAGATGTCAAATTGATGGGAGAAAAGGTACTGAAAGTTTCGCCTTCCTATCCCTAAGCGTTCGGGAGTTATCGCAAATATTCGCCAGGGGGGGGGGGGCGAAAAACGCCCCCCCCCCGGGCCCGCGAGGGTTAATGTATAATTCTGCGTACTCTTACCCTCCTGAACAGTGCGTCCTCTTACCGTACATGCAATTCGCGCACAAAACAACCCCGAAACGTTGTGCAAAACTTCGCAAACAGAATATTGCACTGCACAGTATTTCCCCAGATAACCTCACAAGTTTCCCACAACAATCGCGGAAATGTACCTTATCTGAACTGCCAAGTATCAACATTATTGTACCATACCATAATAATATCATAACGCTCGAAATTAATATTCATCGCCTTAAACTCAACAGCGTCGCCGCTCAACGCCCACGTTCCGTTGGTGACAAGCACGCACTGGCGGCTTCATGTCACTTCATGAACTCGACAAACCCGCGTTGCTAAGCAACCGAAACAGCTGATGCGTACTCTTATCGCCCGCGTACTCTTACCCGCCCTTACCCTAATCATAGTGATGCAAATTTACCCATTATCGAACTTTGCTGAATATGACCGCCGTTCTCAAAGCAAATTCTAGATCGAAGAGATGCTTCTGCATTCCTGAGAAGTCGATGGTTTTATCTTGAAGTCAACAAGCAGCTCTACATTTTAACCCGCGCACCGACGGGGGGGGGCGGATATCCGCCCCCCTGAGGTTTTTCGCGAATAGCGGGAAAACCGCGGCGGGCGCGAAATTTGGTTCGACTATTCTCTTATCAATTTTACACATGGTGTGAAAGGTTGAACCTCCTATCTTTTAAGGTCAGGTCACCAGGTCACTTTGAATGATCCAACCTCAAGTCACTTTTTTGCAACTTTGTCACCGTGCCAGAGCTACAGTAGATGTCGGAGGCCTTTGAAAGTCACAGGATGTTATAAGGTCATTAGTAGCTACAATTTGTATATCTCGGAATTTTGATATCGGTGACCTAAGGTCAGGTCAATTTCTCGACCTCCCCATTATAAGTCAATGGGGGGGAAAATCAACTCCCTGTTTTTACCACTAAAACGGGTCGGAATGGCCCCATAAACCATACATGACCTTATATACGATCAACCTTCACTACCTTGAGGTCTGTTTTGCTGTTGGGCAGCTGCAAGGTCACGTGACGTCATCAAAGGTCACCAGTGGTTTTTTGACAATAACTCCGTACAGGAACAAGATACAGCCGCGCGGATGGTCTCATTGTGTTCAGCTCGTCAAGGCGCATCGAATGATATACATGATGACCTCGAGGTCACGTGACCTGAGGTCAACCTTTGACCTTGACCTTTCGAGGTCAACATATATGTCATTCGATGCGGATTGACGAGAGGATCACGATGCTGCCCTTAGTTTGTTCCTATATTGACTAGTTCGAAAGTTATTCGAGAAAAACTCTCCATACCTAGCGCCGCCATTTTGACTTTTTTGACCCCTGTGACGTCATCTTTGACCTGACCTGAAAATGACCTTAGTAAAAATTGTAGACCTTGTCCTTGCGTATCCCTTGCCGTTTACCGCTTGTCGCTATATTGCTTCGTTCTTGAGATCTCAGGGGGGGGGGCGGTCATCCGCCCCCCCCCCCCCCCGTCGGTACGAAGTTGGCGCAGACCCCCGTCGGTGCGCGGGTTAATAATGTTTTAACCTTGTTGACTTTCTCTTGCGAATTTCTTAAAACGAATCATCAGCCATCAGAATGGACATCTCAAACTGCCCCCTAGATTTTGTGCATGTCGTGTGCGTCATTAAGGACCCCACATGCTTATAAACAGCACACCCCTCCTATTTTGACTGCGTTTGTGCGTGTGCGTGTGTGTGCGTGTGTCTGCTGCCCGGGTGCGGGTTTCGCCGATGTCACAGTGCACCGTGTGTGCCCGTGCCTGCAGTCTGCCAAGCTGCTGTCTGTCGGTCTGGAAAGCCCGGTGCTGCCGCTGCACAACGACCAGCGCGACTCACTGGAGGAGGCGCAGGTAGGAGAGCGGACCCCGGCCGCGGGTGGGGAGAGGTGGGGAAGAGGGGGAGAGGGGTGGCTGTGGGTGTCTGGAGGGGACGGTGGCGGGAAACCGTAGACCGTAGACCCGGAAATATCTCATTGGTCGGTCGGGCAACCAGAAGTAAATGGTTATAATTGTAGAGATATTTGAGACGTTGCATGTTTTGAACCTACATAAAGTATAAGCCATAAAAAGCACACAATTATAAGCGGGCGATTACCATTTTGCCATCCCCTGCCCACTGCCCAGTCATTGAGGGATGCGCGCTCAGCCATCTCCCGATAGATTTACCGCGTACATTATCTTGCCATCCGCGTCCCCGGCTTTCTCGTTCCGCCTGGTACCGTCGATTCTGTCCATTATTTCGAAAATTATCCTCTCCTACTCACATTCATCTGTCTTACTCTCCCGTCCCCTCTCTCCCCGTCTTTGCCCTGTACCTCTCCCCGCTCTGTCTCTTCCATTCCTCTCTCGCCCCACCCCCACCCCTCTCTCGCCGTTGAGGCTCGTAGCGGCCATAAATCGACGCACCGTCGGGCATGTGTCGAGTTTAATCCCGGAGACCTGTTACGCCGGTGATTGCGTTTTTGGCTTGTTCGCGCGCGGCTGTCGCGCGTTGTAAACTGAATTACGGGCCGGGGGCGGGGCAGTGCCGTCGGTACGATGACAGAAATTGAGCGCCAATGTCTCTCGGTAAACTCGTTTCGACAGCGGACCGGAGGCGGGGTCTAATCGGAGGCTTTGAGTCCGCTCTGCTTGCGCCGTCCCGAGGAGGAGGCTTGAGGAGCTTTGTGAAAGCTTGCTGCGCTCGGCGCGGCTTTGACGGACGCTGATTGCAGTTTGCCACGCGGGAATAGAGCGCGGCGATGGGCGGCAAACGAAGATCTGGGCCGGTTTTCAACTCGTGTGGAGGTCTGAACTAGTGTGAATCGAGTGGGTGGATGCTAATCGAGCTTTGTGTCTCGTTTGATGGGGTAGCGGTTTTCATACGCGAGTGAGAAACTTGTAAGTGTGTGCAACCTTTGAAGTTTGAAGATTTGAAACTTCGCTTTCAGCAGTTCGTCGAGCTTCTAATATTGAAAGAGGCTATTCCGGAAGTCATGTTAGAGTCTGAAATATGTTACATCGGTTCGGATCGATTAGGGAGTAAGAAAAATCGACGTACTAAGCGGCATCGAATCAAGCAAAGCTACTTTCAGTAGTTTGTAACTGCTGTAACGGGTCTGTCAAAAGGCGTTAAACGATGACCCGAGGTCAGTGCCTTCTCGGACCGGGTCAATTTGCACTCCTCGCGATCCCCGTGACTGGATCGATTGGTACGAGATGTAAAGGTACATTTGTAGCTCTTGGCTGATACCTGACAAGCCGGCTGTGCTCATGCATCGGGATTCACTTGTTACATGTCGTATCAAATTTGCTATATTGGAATTGTCAAACACTTGCTCTCGTAGCTGAACTCAGAAACACTGGCCTGTTGCTTCAACGGCTACTGGCCTTTGGAAGTACCCGGTACCCATATATTCAATTGCCTCGAGGCACAAATCGCCACGATTATCACTTCTCGGACATTTTCTTTATGGTCCTCCCCCGACCCCCGATCGACCCGCCCGGTCCGAGCTTGCGGCTCTTGGGCAGCCGTCCGACCGTGCAGAAATCGCTCAGCGTAGCCGCCACTACGGTGACCGCTATTGGGTGTAATATTGCTGCCGCCTGACGAGCCGGGCCCGCCGGCCGCCCGCCGCCGCCTGCGCTGCTTAGTCGCTCGTGAAATTATGCACCGCGTGATTGTGTTGAAGTTATGCGTCCCCGTGATTGTGTGTGTGGTGGATTCATCAGTGGGTGTGTACTTGCGGCTCACAAACATGTTGGCGGTTATCGGGGGAAGAGATTTCGCCGATGACGGGAGCTGATAAATGGCACGCGTGCCGCGGCCAAAACAAGTTTATCGATTACTCGCGTGGTTCGCCAGTGAAAGTGTGCTTGTGTACCACTTGAGCCGCACAATGGAGAATCGCATTGTTGTCATATGCGATTGCTGTTTCCCTGTTACAGGAAAGCTGCGTATTTACTACGCTGGAAAGCATTAATTGATCCTTTTCCACTATAGCCTGGCACTATGGTACGGGGACCCGCAGTTGCTACTGTACACGAACCCCAACTCTAGCCGTCTGTCCTGCCCAGTAACAACCGATAACATTGATATCGACTGACGGTCCCTGTCCAAGAGCAGCTGAAGTTTTCTGTGAGTGCCCTCTGACAGCTTATCGTTGTTCCCTGTGAGGGTGCTGGGACAATTTACTCAGGGTCGCTGTACAGTAGCAACTGCGGATCCCCGTACCACCCTGATCTGACCTCAACTGGCCCCATCTGACCAAAGATGGCATCAGATGATGCTTCGCTGGTCGGGTTCGATAATAACTAGGTCACGTAATCCACGCTGCATCACTTTATTACGGTATATATGTCTCAATATCGTTTGACTTCAACATCAACCAACTAGCCTATGTCACCCTGTAAATTGTGCCGAAACATTGTCCCGTTACTCCGCCGTAGTCTCAACTACCCCAAAGTACCTCACCCGACGCCTCTAACCAGCCCACCAATCCCACTCACCAATCATCTCCAGTCAGCCCAGCTGACCGCCGGCGTGTTCCTCCGACAGACCACGTGGCCGGACCCGCTGGAGGACCTGGACAGTGGTCCGCTGGGCCCGTCGTTCCGACGCCCCCACCTGCCCACCTACGGTCTGGTGGCGCTCCTAATCGCCTCGGTGTGTGTGCTCTGCTACCTGTACCGTAAGTCGCGCCGGCCGCGCCGCCGGCGCACCAAACAGGCCGTGGTGCAGCAGCAGCAGCAGCGCCGGGCGCTCAGTGCCAACAACGGGCGCGTCCCGGTGGTCTGAGCGGGAGAGTAGGGACGGAGCGACCGGCGGCAGCTCGGCAGCGGTGCCGGCACGGACGCTGGCCCGGTACTGGTGTCGGCTGCGGCGGCTGGGACGGCTTGGCCACCGGGCTCGAGTTGGCTGAGATCTGGCTCAGCCAAGCTCCGGGCTGGGGAGTCACAACTGGCTCAGCCACCGGGCTCGAGTTGGCTGAGATCTGGCTCAGCCAAGCTCCGGGCTGGGGAGTCACAACTGGCTCAGCCACCGGGCTCGAGTTGGCTGAGATCTGGCTCAGCCAAGCTCCGGGCTGGGGAGTCACAACTGGCTCAGCCACCGGGCTCTAGTTGGCTGGGATCTGGCTCAGCCAACCTCAGAGCTGTGGAGTCACCACTGGATCAGCCATCGAGCTCCATTTGGCTCGAATCTATCTCAGCCATCGGTTTTGACTTGGCTCGGGTCTGGCTCAGCCAAGCTCAGGCTCGGGACTGGGAAGTCATAATGGCATTTCCAGGCAGGAGGAGCGAGGCGCGTGCGTTCAGCGTGAAGCGGTGCAGGGACCGAAGTGGACGCGAACGGACGCCTTTTTCGGGTGCCGCGGAGGTGCTTATCCCTGTGCTGGCTGGTTTCGTCCTCCGATATCAATGTGATGTGATGAAGTGAAGCGAGCGTGTGCTGGTTGATCAGTGAGTGAAACTGGTGTGAAGTGATGTGTCTGCTCATACTGACCACTATATCGATGGCATTGTTGACTGTTACTGTGAGTGCGATTATGACGGAGACTTTCGCTACTGTGTGGCGATGATGCGATTTTGGTGATTTTATTTGGGCACGGTGTTACGTTGTCCTGGTGACTGGTGAAGAGTCTCAGGTAGCCGGTCTTCACATTGTGATATTATTGTTCAACGGGCGATGTAGCATTGTAGCTGATGCGTGCTCACATGTCTTGTTCTGTGTGTTCCTGTGTGAGGGTTGCGGGGGGTGGTCTTCACTACGTGTATCGTAACATCGACACATCATCTTGTATATCATCCGTCATCACGCAGTTTTAACCCGCGCCCTGGTGGGGTCTGTTTATAACGCGACCTGGTGGGGGGGGGGGGGCTATTTTTTGCCCCCCCCCCGTATCTCCGAAACTACTGGACGGATCCGCAAAATTCAAACGGCGTTCGAAAGGCCTGTCAAATTTGTCGAGGGAAACCAAATTTCATTGACCTCGGGGTCACCGATGACGTCACAGGTCAGGTCAAAGATGAAATGTTTCACCGTTCACGGGTCTTCTAGGGAATGCGCTATAACACCGAGGAAAACGCATTTTGTCGAGAATCAGCGATAGGGCGTCAGTTGCCTAGTAAATATGTTGCTATTAGAGGTCACTGACAACACCAGGTCACGTCACAGGTCAGGTCACCAAGGGTCACAGGTCAGGTCACATGAGCCCAACTTTACTAAGGTTGTGTGATGCGTGTTTTATGGCCAATTTTTCATTTCCAACTCAATGGTGTTGGTTATAAAACTATCAGGTACGGCTTAGGTCACTTTCTGGTGAAGTTCAGGTCAAGGTCAGGTCAAGGTCAGGCCAAAAAAGGTCAAATTTTAAAGTTGATAGTTTTGCATAAAATGGGTATTGATTCGATGCAGCTCGTCACGGGGAGTCTAATGGTGGTCTTTGTTTTGCGCTACGGGGTCTAGAATTGCTAAAAATTGAGTTTGAAAATTTGACATCATCAATTTTGAACAGTTTTTTTCGCTATAACTTCGCCAAAAAAAGAGGTATCAATCTCAAATTTGGTATGTGGATGGAAGGCGGTAAGGACTATCACATATATTCCGGTTTTTGCGAAATTCAAAAAACTTTTTGGATTTTTCGATCATTATATCCAAAAAAATTATTTTTTGATTTTTGGGGGTCAAAATCCAAAAATTTCAAAAATCCGAGATAGCAGTTTTGTAGCCCTGTTAATTCTACAGCTTTTATGAGTTTATCATTTTTCTGTATTTGCAAAGCTATAGGCCTGACAGCTCTTCCCGCGAAACCCTTTTTTGGGTCGAAAACGGCAGAACATGACGTCACTCTGACGTCATTTCCGGCCAACCTATCATAGCCTTTGGAAAAATTTTTGGTCACCATGTGTAAAATTGATGTCCGGGAGGGTACTGAAAGTTTGGTAACGATCCGCGCAGCGGTTCTGGAGATATATTGAAAAGTCTGGAGGGGGGGGCAAAAAATAGCCCCCCCCACCAGGTCGCGGGTTAATGACCGATTCATCTAGTGTTTTAATGACCTAGAGCCGTCGTATGCGGCACGCTACTTTACCTGGTGCCGGTTGGGCGTGCAGCTTTCGGGAATGCAATAAGCATTGTTTTCAATAATGTTCTCCAATGAAATGTGTCTTGTCCACTAGGTATGTGTGATTCATCATAATTCAAGAGCACCTTTTTAATACAATGAGGAACTTAAGATCTATCCCGTGTTTTTGACAGATACTAACTAGTGAATACTCGTTGATAGATCACGTCAAAGGGCACCGTTTACACATTCCGTTAGCGTCACTATCGGTCCTTACTTCATACTTACGATCATCGGATGGTAATGCGCAAGCCCCAGCCTGATAACTTTATATGATCGTACTACCCGTTCTTCATCATTGGCCTTTATTGAGCTGTCCCATAGGGTGCCATGCTGGGCTATGCAGCCGATCATAGCGGTGATTCTCCCCCACAGTGCGTTTATGACATTCCTGTCACGTTCTCCGGCCCTTATTTGAAGAGAAGAGAGAGTGACGGAGCACGCCGGACATTGCAGAGGGAAGAGGTGGCGCACGCTGTACTGATGGCTCTATTACGCCTTCGCTGTCGTGACATTTATCTGATTACGGTTATTATAAATGTAATGGTAAAATGGAATAGCTTTAATTCTAACCTATGTGAGAAGTAAACGCCTCGATAAACAGCCGTCCCCCCGCGTCACGTTCTCACGGAAGCAGCCCCGCTTAGTACGTCATAACGAGACAGCGACAACTCCCGTCATCTGATGCTGCGGCGTGTGATTTTACGACCCGTTACCACTGTGAGTGTAGGCTGCGCAATATGGGAGCGGCGAATGTACGGCAATTTGTGCCGTAACAAACGGCCCTCGGCCTACACGTCTCCGTGGAAATGGAAAACGCCGTCCGAATACCGCCGTATGCGGGGCCAACTTCCGTTCGGCGACAGCAGCGTAATCCGCGGACACACTGTTTGATGGTAGTTGGAATGTCGCGCGCCGAAAAACATGTCTGTTGATGTGGCTTAGTTTGTACGCTGTTGTACACAGTTGGTCTCTGGCCAAGAGCTCATCCTCGTTTATAACCGAATATGTTCGGAGCGTAGACTGGATGTTTTGGTAAGCTGATATTACCTAGGTATCTACTGCCTACTTATGTATATTTGGTTTCTGGAACGAAAATGTTATGTGCTGACGGTGTTTCCTTTATAATAATGCATCAAAGCCTGCTGACTCATATCGGTAATATCGATGGTTGTCGGTTGATTCTCATTTTGCCGTAACGTTTCTATGTCGTACATTCGAGCAGGACAAATTACAGCGTCTTATTCGCCCTGAGGAAATGTTGTAGAGGCCCCGGTACAATTTTCTTCACTTTGGTCCGCCTGCTCAGCAGCTATCGCACAATTTGGCTCCTGTCAAATTCAATAGTCGATAGCCTGGTGGGAAAGGCAGTTATTCTATTATTCTATTAGGTACAGTTGATGACAACATGTCGGTCGGTCCCCAACGCCACCATTCGTTTCCCCAGATCCCGCCTCTCCTCTGAGTCGGAACTACCCCGGAAATGTCCGAAGATCACGTGAAACTGCATAATTTACGCTAATGTGCGCGCCGTTGCCGTGCGTTCCGGCGAGATGGCACCTCGGGGCGGTCGCCGAGAGCCGAGGGCTAATGCAATCCGACGGCTCCGCCCGTTCGCCGGACCCTGCAAGCAGAGAGCCGTTAGTGAGAATATCTAGTTACAGATCGCTGAAATGCCAGAATTAAGGGTAAAAGTGGGTTCGTGTTTCTCGCGGGTTTTCGCCACAAGCTAGACAGCGGGCAGATCTCGCTCCTAGTTAGAGATCAACAGTGGGCAATGTTTTCGAACTATGAGAAAGTTTGGTTGATTATTGTTGACCGGCAGCAAATGTCATCGAGCAAAGGAAGTCTGATCCCATTCCGGCATATTGGCATGAATTAGGGAATAAAAACGTTTAGTGTGGAGCTTTGGAACTGGAAGCCACATGGCTTCAAAGCTATCCTGGATCGGCCGGTGGATAAACGTGTTATGAAGTAGCGGTCTTCTGTCTTCATGACAGTCTGCTGTTTTTGTGTTCGAATTTGCTCTCATTTATTTCGTGCAGCGTGTTACACATGCATACGAGGCACGAGCGGCAAACAACAGAAACTCATTATCCGAGCCTAACCGGAAACCGTTTTTCCTTTTAATTGGCTCTCGTCGTTCTAACTCTCAAAAACATTTGGACATTCATCTATTCGGACCAATGTATAAAACACCGCTCGTACTGAGCTTTGGTCAGTTTTTGGTGGACCGCCGCGCAGCAGGGGGCTAGGATGGCACCGCCTCTGGCCCTGCAGGGTCTGCGGCTGTTCACCATGCTCTGTCTCCTCACCTCTAACACAGCCGCTGTGGAGCTGCTCTCATTGCCGACCCAGCAGGCAGACAACATTGGCACTACCTCCGACGCCCCCGCCGAATACACACCGGCACCGCTGACTGACCAGAGGCCGTCCGGTCCCGGTGCCCTGAACGAGGCTACTGGCGGCATTCTCGACAGCATCACCGATGGAATCAGTTTCGCACATGATGTTCCCGGTCGTGTCTATCTTGAGAGGGAGCTGCTTGTCGTACAGAACTCCTCCTGGCCCCAGCACAGGGCAGAAGCTCCGGAGTCTGAAGTGCTCGATGAGGTTACCCTTGCGTCCGAGTGTGAGTATTCTGCGACCCGCTCGCCTGCGCCATGCGCTGTGTTTGGTAAAATGAGGCGCATGCTTCAAACAGAACTTATGTTAGGTAAAACGCTAGGAAATACACTGAAGTATTGTGTATGCTATCGGACAAGCTATATTCAAGCTAATTATGCATTAGCCCTATTAGTGGCAGGCTCCTGGCTACCCCTATTAGTGGCAGGGGGGGGGGCTGTTTACGACCCCCCCCCCTTTATATCTCGAGATCTAACGGGCCAATTTTCAAAATTCAAACGGCATTCGATTTTGCTCAACGTGATCTACATTTCTAAAAAATAAAAATTAAAAAAATGTCAATAGGGGGGTAGAAGGGGGTAAAAATGTGCAAATTGCAGATACATTTTAGACTGTTTATCACGGCCAGATTTCTGAACCAATCTTAACGCAACTTTTGCCGATCGATAGAGAATGAACCAGGTTCACATGGATCCTAAAAATATGCATTTTCAAAAATCATAGGCGGATACAGATCATTGAGATTGGGGGTACACAAAAAGTATAGTAATTAACCCTCGCCGGCACAGGCCATTTTGAGTCCTTCGACGGCACAAGGGGGGGGGGGTTGGTACGACCCCCCCTCGCGTTTGGCCCCTGATCGAGCTAGAGCTTCGCGGAAAAACGAGCGTGTTGCCCGTCACGAGAGGAAGCCGATGATACCCAATTTTAAGGTCCTAGGTCATCGGGTGACCTTCCAGGTCAGGTCAATGACCCGAAAACCGGGAAAATCGGGACCTGTTAGAAAGTCGTAAAGTGTGGCTGCTATGTGGTTTTCCGGGGTGCTGATCACGAATATCGTGTTAGCTTTGATCAGAGATGATGTCTTTAAGCATTTAGACCAGGTCAGGTCAGGTCAGGTCAGGTCAACCGGTAGGGGTTGTGACGGGTATTCGTAATACGTGTCAACCGCCTCGGACAGCTTCGTAACATGTTACTAAGGCACCAAAACTACTTCGTAAATGTTCAAATGGTTGCTAAATTCGAATTCAGCTCCAAAAACTAGCCTAGAAACATGTAAAACTCGAAAAAGTGAACCGAGGTCACCCGAGGTCACCAAAGGTCAATGACCTGACCTGACCATCAGGTGACCTTGACACCCACCCTAATGCATGGGAGCAACATCAAATCACATGTTTGAACGTTTGAAACCACGAAAAGCTTGCAAACGCGCGGCTAATGCGAGCCGACATGCGCCGAACCTCGATTTCGGCCAAACATGGTCACAGAAAAGAGGTCACAGGTCAAAGGTCATTGGGGTCAGGGTCATGACATTTTCAGGGTAGGTGTAAAATTGATCAATGTGTAAAATCAAAGTGTAAAATCGCGAAGGTACTGAAAGTTTCGTCGCGATCGGCCGCTTTTTACGCGAGTTATTCGCGAAAAACCTTAGGGGGGGAGGTTGCATCAACCCCCCACCCCTGTGCCGGCGAGGGTTAAGGTTTTTGTTGGTATTGTTTCTAAAAAGGGTGGTAATGGTCTTGTTATGTTACAATTTTCTTATGAGAGAACGACTACAATTGTATTGGTCATGCATAGGCGGTGTCAGGGCACCTATGTTGGGAGGTAAAACATAACCCCCCTTTTTGGACGCTTGGATCCGCCTATTATAGCAAAAACGTGTCAAAAGAGGATGCACAATAACTTTGTATATGTTATCACATGATACCTTTCCTTCACTGTTCGTAAAACTGGTGCATACAGTTATAATACATCAGCATCGTGATCTTCGCCCAAATGACTCGCTTCACGAATAGGACCCCCCCCCCCCCCCCCAATTCCCAGTGCTCTGGAGCCGCCCCTGGTAAAGTTATGAACTTGAAATTTTCAGGGAATGTGCCCAATGTAGTTTTAGGAAAAGTCAGAAAATTTCAACATCGTAGCTTCAGCGGTTTTGGAGATATTCCCGAAAAACTTGAGGGGTGGATGAAAACACCCCCCCCCCCCTGCCACTAATAGGGTTAATCATGTGTTATTTTGGTTTGGTTCTTTAGGTAAAAATTGTGACTTACCTATTTCCTCGTTGTACTGCGCTCTTCGGGACGCAAAACACAAGCACTTGACGCATGTTTTACCGTGTTCTACGATAGAACGCTACGTTTACGTTTTGCTACGTTTCCAGGTCTCTGCCGTAGCCGGTGTATGGCGAGGGACCTTTGTCTGAGCTTCAGTTACCACCCTGACACCCACCGCTGTACGTTATACAATGTCCGAGGCAACGTCGGCTCCCTCCGGCCCTGGTCCGTCTTCTACAAACGAGGACTGGGTGAGATAAGCCTTCGAATCGGATGTGTGAGACTACATATACACACATTTCGTTAGTTCTAAAATGGACGATTAGCACCGAATTTAACTGACAAAAGGTGTGGATTGCTCTCCAATCCAACTAATGCACTGTGCAATATTTGCGACATTCATAAAGATAGGTGCTACCTAAATGAATAATAACCGCCTCAGGCTGGAATGGTTTGCCACTTTTTCAACCGTCTCTCTTTCCCTCTTTCTTTTTTCTCTCTCTCTCCTCTCTCTCTCTCTCTCTCTCTCCCTCTCTCTCTCTCTCTCTGTGTCTCTGTCTCTGTCTCTCTCTCTCTCTCTCTCTCTCTCTCTCTCTCTCTCTCTCTCTCTCTCTCCTTCCCTCTCTCTCCCCCCTTCTTTGCTCGAACAGCGCTGCTGGGCGACTGGTGCTCGTCCGACTGGGAGTGTGGCCTCCTGACCTCCGGCGTTGCCGTCTGCCGGGACAACACGTGCAGCTGTCTCGACGGACGGTATCAGCTGGACAGAACCACATGCGGTAACTAAGAGAGCCGCTGCGACTGGCCCCGGGCATAGAGGCTTAATCATTAAAGAAATAGCAAATATCGTTATAACGGGTGGTCAGTATGAAACTGGACAAAATTTGATTAAGCATAGCATCTCCAATTATGGACAGATTTTAATTATTTTTGGTAGGTGAATACTTCCAGTTATTTTGTTTTAGCAGCTCAGATTTCAACTTTCTGCTATTAACTAGTAGGAAACATTGCGCCGGTAAGTCAGCAAGCGTTCCGGGACCTGTTCGCACAAGTTTGTGAGAATAACCCAAATTACAAAAATGGTACCATTATGCGTCACATTACGCCATAGGGTGTCACCAGATCTTAAGAATATGTGATCATCAATAAGTCCTGAGGACTTGCAGATGTTTTGCATGGTGGGAACGGCAAGATCACCAAGAAAATGCTCATTCAGCTACTGAAGAAACAAACCGGCGCCGTCACCGAACAGTTGGGGCTCTCCTAGTGATCTCTGGGAATAAATTTTGGGATCTTCAAAACATATGACCAATTAATATGTCAACAAGCAGGAATCAAGTACAGGAATAGGTTAAAGGTGACGGAGACACAATTGCGTACACAGAAAACCCGCCTGCGCCGTCTGTCACAGGGTCCAATGCAGAGTAGCAAAAACATGGAGGTGCATATGGATGATGAATCTTATTTCACCTGCAGTGGCAGCCAAATGCCTTATAGTGCCGAATTGTACACCTCAGCTGGTGGAGACACTATTCCACATGCGGATCTCACCTCCTCTTTCGACCTGAGAGCAAGTTATCCACCCGAGATGCCCGTCTGGCTTGCCACGAGCCCGAGGGGATCAAGCGTCCAGTTACTTGCCGAGCACAGACAATGTAACGGGTAAACTGTGCTATGAAAAGTGTTTGAATGGCGCGTTGTTACCACTATTGAGTCTCAGAACATAGAGCATGATGCTCTGTTAGGTTCTGACCTTGCAACAGTCACAGTACGCGCGCTAGACCACGAAACTTCTTGAGGAGGCTGGGGTGCCCGAAATAGCACGTGACATGAACCTGCCATGTACCCCTCAGATTTAGCCCATTGAGGATCTCTGGGGGCTCATTAAACAGAAAGTGTATAGGGGAATGGGCAGGTCGCTGAGACGCACAACTAAAGCGGAGAATCCAGCAGGCCATCCGTCAAATCGACCCGGAGGTGCCGCGAAAGACAAAAGCGGGGCTGCCAGCGCGCGTGCGCTTGGCGGCTGACAGAGGTCCAGTGTCGCAGATCCATTAGGGCGAGCGTGATCACAACAAAATAATGGCACAGTAACGCAATTTTCGTTGCTTTCGCTTGAAAACTTTTGACACAGTAACAATTCAAACTTTGTCCAGTTTCATACTGACCACCCGTTACATAGTTTTTTTTTAACCCGCGCACCGACGGGGGGGCGGATATCCGCCCCCCCCTGAGGTTTTTCGCGAATAGCGGGAAAACCGCGGCGCGTAGCGCCGCGAAATTTGGTATGACTATAACCTAATCAATTTTACACATGGTGTGCAAGTTTGAGCCTCCTACCTTTTAAGGTCAGGTCACCAGGTCACTTTGAATGACCCAACCTCAAGTCACTTTTTCGCAACTTTGTCACCGTGCCAGAGCTACAGTAGATGTCGGAGGCCTTTGAAAGTCGCAGGATATTATTAGGTCATTAGGAGCTACAATTTGTATATCTCGGAATTTTGATATCGGTGACCTAAGGTCAGGTCAATTTCGCGACCTCCCCATTATAAGTCAATGGGGGAAAAATCAACTCCCTGTTTTTACCACTAAAACGGGTCGGAATGGCCCCATATACCATACATGACTTCATATACGATCAACCTTCACTACCTTGAGGTCTGTTTTGCTGTTGGGCAGCTGTGAGGTCATGTGACGTCATCAAAGGTCACCAAAGGTTTTTGGCCAATAACTCCGTACAGGAACAAGATACAGACGGCGTGGATGGTCTCACTTGTGTTCAGCTCGTCAAGACGCATCGAATGATATACATGATGACCTCGAGGTCACGTGACCTGAGGTCAACCTTTGACCTTGTACCTTTCGAGGTCAACATATATATCATTCGATGCGGATTGACGAGAGGATCACGATGATGCCCTTAGTTTGTTCCTATCTTGACTAATTCGAAAGTTATTCGAGAAAAACTCTCTCCATATCTAGCGCCGCCATTTTGACTTTTTCGACCCCTGTGACGTCATCTTTGACCTGACCTGAAAATGACCTTAGTAAAAATTGTAGATCTTGACCGTGCGTATCCGATGCCGTTTACCGCTTGTCGCTATCTTGCTTCGTTCTCGAGATCTCAGGGGGGGCGGTCATCCGCCCCCCCCGTCGGTGCGAAGTTGGCGCAGACCCCCGTCGGTGCGCGGGTTAACCAATGCATATTTTAGTGAAATCTATTCCAGAAAACGTAAATTAGACATAGAAGAACGGGTCAAAAGTCAATGCCCTTCGCCCAAAATTCATTGGCATACCTTCGCCAGTAAGTATTAATACTAAATACTACACTAATAAGTCAGATATACCCACCAACAGGTTTCAAGTCAACCACAAGTATCGTCAAACAAGCGACAACTGCACCCACAGAGTCACCTTCCAGAGACGAGACACAGCCTGTTTTAGCTAATACCACAGCCGCCGACCCCACGCAGGAGGTGGACGTCACCAGAGGAACCGAGGCACCAACCACTGCCGTGGCCAGACCCGAACAGAACATCACCGAAGGTGAGGTACTTATGGCTGATTGATTGGTGATATACAATACTAGGTACTAGGAAGGCATTATAAGTTGTTCGATGGCATGAGATTTTCTCTTCCTTCTCTCGGTTATTGAACCCATAATTACCACTAAGAAGCCTTTTGGGCGACAAACTAGCGAGCGAGACAGTGTGCCCGGCCGATATGCGAAATTACGACACGAGGCCTCCAACTAACGTAAACGAGTAACCCTTCCAGCCTAAAGGTGTATCAACTTTGAGCTCAATTTGCTCAGCTGTAGCACCCGCGCCGGGAAGGTGCTCGACGTCATATTTGCCGCGCCAGGAGATGTTTGAGCACCCCCACCCCACCCCTAATCTTCTAACTTAGCCCCTGGGCCATGTATACTGTATAGACCTAGTGACCTGACCTTGATGGACCTTGGTCGGAAATTTGTAGGTACATGCTCAGAAAAGAGGCATCAAATGGCGTGCCAAAAACAAATAGTCAGTGTTTAAACACCCCTTCCCGCGACCTGGCACGGGTTAAGAATAGAGGCGGCATCCTGGACGTGCGCACACGCTAGAAGCTCCAACTGACCTGTGCGGGGAGCTCTACCAGCCGGCCCCTACTGCTGCAATCGGAATCTGACCTGAGTACATATACGGTATCCAAATTTGAGCGCGATTGGTCCAGCCGTTCTCGAAATTTGGAATCGATCCCTCACGTAGGGTATGCACGTGCAATAGCATCCCGACTCCCGAGGCCGTGATGCATAGGAACCAGGGATGATGCGGAGCCGTGGAAATTTCAGACGGCTCCGGCTCCGACTCCGGCTTCGGAGAAAAAATCGGATCCGGCTCTGGCTCCGGCTCCGGGTGCATGGCGGCTCCGGCTCCGGCTCCGAGTAAAATGGTCCGGCTCCGGCGGCTCCGACTCCGGCTCAGGCTCCAGTACTCAGTACATCTTTATACAATTGAATACGGGTGGAAGAAAAAGACGAAGGGATTGGTTCACGTTGCCTCTATATTTGCATAACAAGGCTATTTTGAATACCACATGTTTTACTGCCTTGTACTATCAAACCGAACTAGTTCAATAATTTTTTACCTCTTAAAAAAAGGAGCCGGAGCCGCCGCCTTTTTTTGACGGCTCCGGCTCCGGCTCCGGCTCCGGGCAAAATATGCCGGCTCCGGCGGCTCCGGCTCCAGCTCCGGCTCTGGCTCCGCACCCTTATAAGAACGCACCACCCATTCCATGATAGTCCATTGTTCAGCTACTGTTTGTATAACATACATACTACGAGTACCTACCTAGCCAGCTTATTTGCTTGTTCTTATCCCAGATAAAATTAAAGAAATGACGCACACAGAACCCGGCCTGAAGGCGAATGAAAGTTACTATGTATTGGGATGCGAGAATTTCTTCCCCAACAAGATACTTGTGGTACTTGAAGATCGAGGCGACTTCTTTACATCCTGGAAGGTAAGCATATTAAAATGTATCATACTAGCATGTGTTTGTGACATTTATCAAGTGATTATAGTTTGTGGTTGGACAAGTTCAGAAAACAAACCACGATTTGCAGGTTTTGTTAGATTGACGTTTCCCTTACGTATCATAGAGATGATGCAGCACGCCTCTTTGGTCATTTATTTCATCTGTGTTTCGATGCATAATTCAGTGCTTTTAATTTCATTTCAACGCTTGCCCGGCGAGGGAGTTGATGCAGCCCCCTTCCCCTAAGGGTTTTCGCAAATAGCGTAAAAACGGTTGCGCGTATCCCGCCAAATTTGGCATACCTTCTGGGACAGCCTTTTAACACTTACCTGAAAATTCCAGGTCTCAGCCATTTCAGGTCAGGTCCCCAGGTCACAAAAACCGGTACAAAGTCAGGGTAAAATTTTACTTGAATCAACGGAATAACAATTTTTTGTTAACCCGGGCCCCACTGGGGTCTGCGTATAACACGCCCTACTGGGGGGGGGGGGCTATTCATAGCACCCCTCCTAGCTCCGAAACTACTGGGCCGATCGTCCAAATTCAAACGGAGTCTGATAGCCCCGGAAAAACTGTCGAGCAAAGCTTAATTTCATTGACCTCGAGGTCACCGATGACGTCACAGGTCAGGTCAAAGTAAAAATTATTAGCATTTTGGCTTGTTCACGTTTTGGGCTATGGCCGCCGTCTTACAAGTCAGATCAGGCTCATTTTTGGTTCACACACTCGTGAACAGATGCTCTAGATACCCTGAGGGTACCAAACTTGTACTTTGATTTTCAGGTCAAGGTCAGGTCATCACAGGTCACGAAAATATTATATCATGCGTCGGTCACGTGACACATGTTTTATGGTCCATTTGGGCCAAAGATTTCGAATTTGATGTTGTCTGTGTCATTCGAGGTCATTTTGAGTCGAATTTAGCTTAGGTCAGGTCACTTTCAGGTCAAAAAAGGTCAAATTTTGAAGTTATAATTTTTCAACGGAAAAGGTGTCTATTGGATGCAGTTTGAGCTCAGGAATACGATGGTGCTATTTATATTGGCGTGCGATGTCAAATACGTGCTGGAAAATTGATTTGAAAAATTAATAATTGTGAATTTTTTTGCAATAATGCGTATAACTTGGCCATTTTTGAAGATATTTAGCTAAAACTTGCTAGAGTTAGTCATAATAACGCGTTCTATCACATATATTCCGGTTTTTCGAAAAGTCAAAATTTCTTGCAAAAAAATGTAAAAATGTAAATTTTAAATTTTATTATGTAAAATTTTCGAAATTTTCAAAACTTCGAAAATCCGAGATAGCAGTTTGATAGCGCAGTCTATTCTGAGTCCTCTCATGCAAAGAAACTGGATCTATCTTAAAAACTGAGCCCTTGAGAGCGATTGCTGTGGTTCAATGTTTTGCGTCGAAATCGGCCGAACATGACGTCACTCTGACGTCATTTCCGGTCGACCTATAGTAGCTACGAAGTTCCAATTTTGACACAAGGTGTCAAATTGATGCAGCCGAAGGTACTGAAAGTTTGGCGTCGATACGTCAAGCGGTTTGGAAGTTATTGCAGAAAAACTGGAGGGGGGCTATGAATAGCCCCCCCCCCCCAGTGGGGCGCGGGTTTTAACAGCGCAAGTGCCGTTGCATGTAGTGCCACCAAATTTGAAGTCCAGCTTGAGTCATTCATTTGACACGCGTCCTGGGAGTTTTGAGTTCCAGTGACCTCAGGTCAGGCCGGCCAGGGTATGTACCAGGTCACAAAGCCGGTACATTGTCAAAATGACACTAAAAACACACTATTTTTCCATCAAATCGAGAGTTGTTTATCGATTTGATTCGATTTAGACTTGCAAGATACTCGTATAATGAGGTCAGACTACGTTTTCGCATTTGGCACACAATGAGGGGGGCTAGAGCTTCAAAAATGGTGTCATTGTGTTCATTGTGATCAGGTCAAAAGTTATAGGCGAAAACGTTTGACCTGTCCTAGCAAAATGTTTACACTTATACCCCCAAAACCTCCCTTAACCCGCGCCCTGGTGGGGTCTGTTTATAACGCGACCTGGTGGGGGGGGGGGGCTATTTTTGCCCCCCCTCGTATCTCCGAAACTACTGGACGGATCCGCAAAATTCAAACGGCGTTCGAAAGGCCTGTCAAATTTGTCGAAGGAAACAAAATTTCATAGACCTCGGGGTCACCGATGACGTCACAGGTCAGGTCAAAGATGAAATGTTTCACCGTTCACGGGTCTTCTAGGGAATGCGCTATAACACCGAGGAAAACGCATTTTGTCGAGAATCAGCGGTAGGGCGTCAGTTGCCTAGTAGATATGTTGCTATTAGAGGTCACTAGCAATACCAGGTCAGGTCACAGGTCAGGTCACCAAGGGTCACAGGTCAGGTCACATGAGCCCAACTTTACTAAGGTTGTGTGATACATGTTTTATGGCCAATTTTTCATTTCCAACTCAATGGTGTTGGTTATAAGACTATCAGGTACGGCTTAGGTCACTTTCTGGTGAAGTTCAGGTCAAGGTCAGGTCAAGGTCAGGCCAAAAAAGGTCAAATTTTAAAGTTGATATTTTTGCATAAATTGGGTATTGATTCGATGCAGCTTGTCACGGGGAGTCTAATGGTGGTCTTTGTTTTGCGCTACGGGGTCTAGAATTGCTAAAAATTGAGTTTGAAAATTTGACGTCATCAATTTTGAACAGTTTTTTCGCTATAACTTCGCCAAAAAAGGAGGTATCAATCTCAAATTTGGTATGTGGATGGAAGGCGGTAAGGACTATCACATATATTCCGGTTTTTGCGAAATTCAAAAAACTTTTTTAATTTTTCGATTAGTATATCCAAAAAATCTATTTTTTGATTTTTGGGGGTCAAAATCCAAAAACTTCAAAAATCCGAGATAGCAGTTTTGTAGCCCTGTCCAATCTACAGCTTTTATGTCTTTATCATTTTTCTGTATTTGCAAAGCTGTAGGCCTGACAGCTCTTCCCGCGAAACCCTTTTTTGGGTCGAAAACGGCAGAACATGACGTCACTCTGACGTCATTTCCGGCCAACCTATCATAGCCTTTGGAAAAATTTTTGGTCACAATGTGTAAAATTGATGTCCGGGAGGGTACTGAAAGTTTGGTGACGATCGGCGCAGCGGTTCTGGAGATATATCGAAAAGTCTGGAGGGAGGGCAAAAAATAGCCCCCCCCCCCCACCAGGGCGCGGGTTAAAGGGACCCTCCCAGTTCCCACCTTCAAAAAAGTTAATGAATTGGCATGAAAGTGATGTCGCTCGGTTCAGAAAGAGCAAAAACGAATATCTACCAGATTTCATCGAAAAATATTCACCGGTTTTCAAGATATTAGACTTTTACTTTTGTTTACTTTTTGGGATCTCCGCTGTTCCTAGCGACTTTATTTGAAAGTGCGGCATTTGTTGCGCGCAAAGCAGCATATACCACCGCGTGCTACAAAACGTTTTAGTCAAACATTTAACGGACGTTCGAAAGCCTGGTGACGTCATCAGATTCCCGTAATGGTTAAGAGATAGGGACCACGCTGGTCCCACCCTGCAAGTAAAGGGAAGAAATTTCTTGAACACTATAAAGCTGCGGGGGTTGCGACCAGGATAAATGGTGGTTTCTGAGCCTGGCCGCAAACTTGGCTATCTCAACTCAAAACTAATGTTAAGGTGGGAGGGTCCCTTTAATATTGACCTAGAGTCACCAAAGTTGAACAGGGGCGAGATCTCCTATGGGCCCACCTACCCTGTAAATTTGGTGTTTCTAAGTGCCATGAAGCCAATCGCCAGGGGACCATACCAACCAACCCCCCTCGCCGTCTGCGTTATGAAAGGGCCCTCTCGCCTGGCGAGGGTAAAAATGAACAGAATTTATTCTTTTTATTCACTACATGCATTGTTATATCCGGAGTCCTTGCCGTTTCAGGGATTGGGCGTTGTTGGCTGCGTTCAGTACGACCTTACGAAACCACTTCTAGGTCTATCTCTGAAGACTAGAGAGATGGACTCCCACCAGGTAAAATACCACAAAGAAGCATATCATGTATTCCTCATGTCGCCGCTACTGTATACTCACTTGTATAGGTACGGGTCTCGCGAGTTAACCCTCGCCGGCACAGGCCATTTTGCGTCCTTCGACGGCACAAGGGGGGGGGGGGGTACGACCCCCCTCGCGTTTGGCCCCTGATCGAGCTAGAGCTTCGCGGCAAAAACGAGCGTGTTGCCCGTCACGAGAGGAAGCCGATGATACCCAATTTTAAGGTCCTAGGTCATCGGGTGACCTTCCAGGTCAGGTCAATGACCCGAAAACCGGGAAAATCGGGACCTGTTAGAAAGTCGTAAAGCGTGGCTGCTATGTGGTTTTCCGGGGTGCTGATCACGAATATCGTGTTAGTTTTTATCAGAGATGATGTCTTTAAGCATTTAGACCAGGTCAGGTCAGGTCAGGTCAGGTCAACCGGTAGGGGTTGTGACGGGCATTCGTAATACGTGTCAACCGCCTCTGACAGCTTCGTAACATGTTACGAAGGCACCAAAACTACTTCGTAAATGTTCAAATGGATGCTAAATTCGAATTCAGCTCGAAAAACTGGCCTAGAAACATGTAAAACTCGAAAAAGTGAACCGAGGTCACCCGAGGTCACCAAAGGTCAATGACCTGACCTGACCTTCAGGTGACCCTGACACCCACCCTAATGCATGGGAGCAACATCAAATCACATGTTTGAACGTTTGAAACCACAAAAAGCTTGCAAACGCGCGGCTAATGCGAGCCGACATACGCCGAATCGCGATTTCGGCCAAACATGGTCTCGGAAAAAAGGTCACAGGCATAAGTGTAACTTTATATCTCTTTGTGGGTGCTCAAGCACCCCCAATCCTGAGCTCAGCACCCCCTGCCTCCTTAAAGCACCCCCAGTCTCCTCAAAACATTCCCAGCTGACTCAAGGCCCTCAATAATCAGTATTTCCATCTCCTAGTGCTGTAATGAGCTCAGTGAATCATGCAAATACTATGTTTACTGAATTCAATGACTAAGAGAATATGCATTGAATAAATTACCACAAATTAAGATGCATGATATTTGTGTTTACATTACATCTGATATTATGGTGCTTAACTTGGGACAAAGTAAGATCTCCAATCTAACATAAATGAAGGTTGGCAAACAATGTCAATGGCTGTAAAATTTATCGACATTCACAACACCATACTTAGTTCCTCTGTTTGCGTAAAAGCATACCGGCTGGCCCAAAAAAAAAAAACGTTCCGAACTTTGGAGGCCTATAGGTACCTCAAATTTGAGTGCAAATAACGAGCCAAATTTCTCATCAAGTTTGCGTTACTTCTTTGCGCATTGGTATGCCAAATTATAACAGTCCATCATCATTTTCAAGCCAGCAATCTCATGTTGAATTAAGTAAGACGTTTTTGCTTTTTTTGCCGATGTTGGACGGTAGTGATGATTGCCTTAGACGTACCATGTTAGGAAAAAATAGAAAAATGGAACACGTGAATGAAACCAGCACGTGTGTTGTTATTCTAACTATTTTTGTCCCACTTATGTGCCGAATACTGAGCCAAAATGGTGTTAATGAATGCCATTCGTTTCAACAGTGAGTCCTGTTTCGAGCAGAAGTGGCGCGGTGCATGGATAACTGCTGATTGCCCTCCCTTCAAGAAGATCAAACAGTAAATCGACCGAATAAGGAAAAAAGCTAGAGGGAATGTGCCACCCTAAGGCCTGAACCATCAGTGAGGCCAGTTGTCAGTTAGCAGTCATGGCTGCAGGCCGTGGTACCGAGATGGAAGTGGCCCGTTCACTCACGTTTTTTTTTTTTAGTAAACATCTGAGCAAAAAAGTAATTGTTACATGGCATGCTAGAAACACGAACCATTTAAAAAGTAGGTAATAGCCCGAATAACACAAAAATAATACAATTTACTGAAAATATATGCCGCATTGACGGTGGGAAGTTTCAATGTTGTGTCTTTTTCACTTTCTGAGAAATGTTGATTTAAAGTTGGGAATGTTTTTTCTGGGCCACCCGGTATAAGCAGCCGCCAGCCTAACAATATCCAATTTTCTGTAATATTCTAAAAGTTCAGTACAACCTGGGTCAATGAATCAAGTGGGACATGATGACAGAGAGATCCCATGGTGTCCAGTGTTCGGGAGTACTGGAAAGCCTCACGCCGGAAGGACGTGGAAGGGTGGTAAAAGTCCACCGACGGACCTTGTGCCAAAAATTGATTGCACAACCGAGGAATATGCACAGAAAGACAGTTCTTTACGGTGTTCACTCTCCCCAAGGGCACATGAAACAAGCCCGTGCGGCGGTTACGCCTCCCAGGAACATTAACCCTCGCCGGCACGGGCCAATTTGCGTCCTTCGACGGCACAAGGGGGGGGGGGGTACGACCCCACCCCCTCGCGTTTGGCCCCTGATCGAGCTAGAGCTTCGAGGAAAAAAAACGAGCGTGTTGCCCGTCACGCGAGGAAGCCGATGATATCCAATTTTAAGGTCCTAGGTCATCGGTTGACCTTCCAGGTCAGGTCAATGACCCAAAAGTCGGGAAAATTGGGACCTGTTAGAAAGTCGTAAAGTGTGGCTGCCATGGGGTTTTCCGGGGTGCTGATCACGAATATCGTGTTAGTTTTGATCTGAGATGATGTCTTTGGGCATTTAGACCAGGTCCGGTCAGGTCAGGTCATGTCAACCGGTAGGGGTCGTGACGGGTATTCGTAGTACGTGTCAACCGCCTCTGACAGCTTCGTAACATGTTACGAAGGCACCAAAACTACTTCGTAAATGTTGAAATGGTTGATAAATTCGAGTTCAGCTAAAAAAAAACTAGCCTAGAAACGTGTAAAACTCGAAAAAGTGAACCGAAGTCACCAAAGGTCAATGACCTGACCTGACCATCAGGTGACCTTGACATCCACCCTAATGCATGGGAGCAACATCAGATCACATGTTTGAGCGTTTGAAACCACGAAAAACTTGCAAACGCGCGGCTAGTGCGAGCCGACATACGCCGAATCGCGATTCCGGCCAAACATGGTCTCGGAAAGTCGGTCACAGGTCAAAGGTCATTTGGGTCAGGGTCATGAAATTTTAAGGGTTGGTGTAAAATTGATCAATGCGAGGGTGCTAAAAGTTTCGTCGCGATCGGCCGCTTTTTACGAGAGTTATTCGCGAAAAATCGAGGGGGAAGGTTGCATCAGCCTCACCCCACCCCCTGTGCCGGCGAGGGTAAGGCCAAACATCGATACCAGGTAAGCGCAGTCGGTACGGTGGTGAAGGAGTTGGTACAAGAACATGACATCGGTATGAATGAGGCGGGCTTTGATGGACTCAGTTTTAACCCTCGCCGGCACAGGGGGGGAAGGGTTGATGCAGACCCCCCTAAGGTTTTTCGCGAATAACTCGCGTAAAAAGTGGCCGATCGCGGCGAAACTTTCAGTACCCTCGCATTGATCAATTTTACACATACCCTGAAAATTTCATGACTCTGACCAAAATGACCTTTGACCTGTGACCTCTTTTCCGAGACCATGTTTGGCCGGAATCGCGATTCGGCGTATGTCGGCTCGCATTAGCCGCGCGTTTGCAAGCTTTTCGTGGTTTCAAACGTTCAAACATGTGATTTGATGTTGCTCCCATGTATTAGGGTGAGTGTCAAGGTCACCTGAAGGTCAGGTTAAGTCATTGACCTTTGCTGACCTCGGCTCACTTTTACGAGTTTTACATGTTTCTATGCTAGTTTTTGGGGCTAAATTCGAAATTGACAACCATTTGAACATTTACGAAGTAGTTTTGGTGCCTTCGTTTGGTGCCTTCGTAACATGTTACGAAGCTGTCAGAGGCGGATGACAGGTGCTACGAATACCCGTCACGACCCCTACCGGTTGACCTGACCTGACCTGACCCGACCTGGTCTAAACGCTTAACGACACCATCTGTGATCACAATTAACACGATATTTGTGGTAGGCACCCAGGAAACCCCTTAGACGCCACACTTTACAACTTTCTAACAGGTCCTAAAGTCCGGTAAGGCCTGAATTTAAATCTTAAACCCAGCGTGTTCTCAAATATGTTCAAAAACTTCCGTGATTAATAATGCATTGGATGAACCAAAATCGTTTTACAGTGGCGCTATTAAAACAAGCTCTCGAACCGATTTAACATCATTTCTTGCATGACGCCTGATGGCTACAGTAAAAAAGATCAGCTGAAAAAACTAACTATACGAAAAATATCAATATGACATGCTTTTCTGAAAGCTATTGAGCACCCCCATTGATTTTTGGAAAACTACACCCATGGTCACAGGTCAAAGGTCATTTGGGTCAGGGTCATGAAATTTTCAGGGTAGGTGTAAAATTGATCAATGCGAGGGTACTGAAAGTTTCGTCGCGATCGGCCGCTTTTTACGTGAGTTATTCGCGACAAACCTTAGGGGGGTTGCATCAACCCTCCCCCCTGTGCCGGCGAGGGTTAAGCGGTAGGTTTTGCACTTTTACATTTCTGGTTATATCTCAGAAACTAATCGATCTACGATGAAGCCATTTTACACGATCATGGCCGGCTTGTTACCCAACAACTCGAACGCATTTTCAACACTTAAAAGCTTAAGACGACGAAGATATAGTCTGAAGTACACCAAATTTTCTAGATGCAAGACCTACCGCTAAAACCCGCGAGACCTGTACAAATACTAGTTAGAATTAACCGGAACAGTTTTTACGATTTATAAAATGGTAGAAGGGTTATAGTATAGTCCATTTTTTTCAAAAGGCTCATGGCCCGAAGCATTATTTTGGAGTTGGCACGTGCGAGACGCTAGAAAATAACGCAAGCTGAGATGAATTTCTCGGCCATTTTTGAAAGATAAGCACAGTGCTACGGAGGAAGTTGTTCAATTTAGCTTATAAATCGTGTCATATTGCAGAATGTTAGTAAAATCATATATTTGAGCGGTTGAGCCATTCTGTTGAATTTGCATGCTAATCTAACGTCACTCCTATATTAACCTTGATTCCACAGCCAGGCCATCACTTGAGAAATAGCAAGCGGCAAATCCTTAAATAATCAAGACAGAACAATATTTTTTGCTACAAGGCTCTGTCGGGCGCCAGAATTCTGAACAGCAGGCTCACTAATCATGTCATTGTTAGCTGCTGAAGCTGGTGACGTTCCATATTGTTGTCTTACATTGTGTTCTCGCATGCTACGTAGGGGAGAGGCGGGAGAATTGGGACTTATTTCTCAGGCCATGTTCATTGAGGTATTATTTGGAAAGTTTTGTAGCCAAGCTGCTTTGCGCAGCACCAATAAAAGGTCGACCATTTCTCTGCATTATGCCATCATAAAATAGCGAGCCTGTGTAATGATGTAGTTATATGTGGACAAAAACAAAAACACTCATTTTCAGGAGAATAGGGACACATGCAAGGAGACAAGGGACAGACACGAAGCTGAATTGGGACATATAAAAATTGGGTATTGGGATGACTTTATCTCGAATTATTTGTCGTGTCTATGTCTAGGCAATGATTTGATACATTGGAACTTATCTTCACACTGTCTGCTTCGTTTAAGGCCGGGATTGTCTCTCAGGATCACGATGTTCCCATAAAATGTACATTTTCCTACCAGAGTAAGACTTTCTGGTCTTCGCTTTGATGTATTTGTGGTCAAGTGTGCAGCTGCAACCCCATCCAAAACACGAAGGTAAAAACACATCTTTTACACCACTTTACCGTTTTTACCATTTGGTGTCCCTATTCTCCCACAACACCGCCATAACAAGTCACGCATTTTTTGTCATTTATCAGTTACAGAGCGTGTTCATTCAAACTAGCAATCGCATAAGGACGGTGTTAAGCTAACATCGTAATATGTTGAAAGAAAAATTGTTTGTCATATGCAAGGCACAGACAACTCAGAATAGCGCTCGAAAAAAACAAGTTTTTTGGTGCTCAGCCAGCACAGCCCAAACGATGGCCACAAAAGGGTTGCTGAGGCTTCCCATCGTTGCACGACACATATAATCAAAAGGTAAAGGCAATGATCGTGCAAAGATGCTGTCCATTTTTTAGATATTGGCGTGTCCCTATTCTCCTGCGTCCCAATTCTCCCGCCTCTCCCCTACAAACTTCAGTAGTCTTTTTATGAGTCTTTCCAGATTTAGTAGGCGCATACCCGACTTCTTCCCAATGCAGGAATCGATCGATCAACATTGTACTAGATCGGCAGATATGCTGGCTCATGTTTCTTTTTGAACTCAACAGAAATAAACGTAAAACAAAATGCCAATCCGTGTGTTACTTTTGTAGGTCTGCAAACAAGTCATCCACGTAATCATCTTAATCATTTGTTTAGTGCCTATGGCTAGACCCCGTGTGGAAGCATTTTCGATTCACAGTTCCTCATTATGAGTTGTATGTACATACTTCTCTCAAAACTATCGCAAATCAGAGACCAGCCGACCAGTCTGATTTCGAAACGTGCCAAGCCGGTGTTCGTTGAATTCTGTCAAAGCCATCACTTTGCACGTGACAATTCTAAAATCGATTTTCGGGCCCGTGCGCCTTTTGAAATAAAATGGACTATAACCCTCGCCCATGTAGGGGGGGGGGGTTGGTGCAACCCCCCCTGAGGTTTTTCGGGAATAGTGCAAAAACGGCGGCGCGCAGCGCCGCCAAATTTTGGGTACCTTATGGGGCAAACCTTGCGCATCTTTTGATAAAAAAAATTTGACCGGGTCATGTCAGGTCACAGAGTTATGACGTCACAAAGGGAACAGCCTCCGGCCGGATTTTCACAAACTGAGTGCCAACGCCCGAGGTTTCCTGCCGGTGGTACGGACATCGGTTGATGGATCGTGATGAAACTTCCCATGCATGTTGGGGCAAGTATTGGCTATCATATGGTATAAGAAACTTGACCGGGTCAGGTCAGGTCACGGAGCTATGACGTCACAAGAGGAACAGCGTCCGGTACTATTTTTGAAAAGCGCCCGAACCACTATTTTGCTAATTCTTGTCACCTCAATGGGAATATGCAGCAATATTAGCTTCTATAGGGAGCAAATGGACCTTCCAAATCCAAAAATACAACCAGATTTCAAAAATTTAAATTTTGATTTTTCGAATTTCTGCCGCCGACTGTGACCTTGCCGACTTCCGGCGCTCCCAACGCGCCATTTTTAGAGCTAGGGAAACGAAATACATACCAAACGATAGAGAATTGATCAAGGAACACGACAGTGAAGGTTTCAAGTCGATATCTCCCACCGTTTTGCCGCAATCGCCGCGGAAAGTTGAAAAAAGTCTATTTTTCCGAAAATTTGACCTTTGACCGGTCAAAAGTAGGTCAAATGTTGACCTAGGACCAAAAAATATACCACCAATCGCGAGATCTCGGCGAGAGCAATCCGTTGGTCTTTTCCGCTAAGCTCTACGACGCTCCGTTTTCAAACGCCAAGGGGGGGGGCGCACCAACCCCCCCCCTGCATGGGCGAAGGTGGCAGATCGCCGTTTACGGGCGAGGGTTAATATTTAGAATCGTACCCTGCTATGCATTATGTATTGAAGATTATGCTCTTTTTTATCTGGCAGACTCGCTATGAATGCGATCCGGACTACGTTTTGGTGTCGTTTTACGATTCCTCTCCGGAGTTTGACAGCCCCGAAAACTATACCTGCGCTCCCCTGGGCGACACGCACGGTCATAGAATACTAAGGTAACACGGAGCCGAAGCTTCAAGCCAGGGGACACGGGAGGCATGCCGTCAGCTGTCCTTTTTTAAACAATCGGTTTCTTTGAAATAATTTCTTTTGGTTTTTTGATGCCTTTCATAAATATAGTACACCAAAAATTAAGTTTTATTTTTTATGAGGTGGGAAATATTTTTCTGTCCAAACCATTCCCGTTTAAAGAAAATAGACAAGGGGAGAGTTTACCCAGGACCCTATGGAGGTTGTGTACATGAGTTTACCCAGGACCCTATGGGAGAGAGTTAACACGTGCCTCTATGGGGCGAATTCGATGCAACAAATGGCGCAGTAGCGACATTACTTTTGTTCGATGTTTCTCGGACGACAAAGATCCTACGCCGTTTGGCCAATCATATTCCATAATTGCAGCCGAGCCCCCATTGACCTAGAACGGGATTGGCCGGACGACGTACAATCTTCGTCGTTCGAGAGACATCGAACGAGGGGTACATCGACTGAATATACATTGCGATTCAATATTCAGTAGGTATTTTATGACCGTGATTGCAATTTGCATTTGAGCTCAGCAGTCGAGTAAGTTGTGCCAAAAATACCAGAAGTGTTGCATGCCCTGGATGCAGAAAAACAAGATTGAGATGAGTGGATCAAGATGTATCTTTCGTGCAGATGTATCAAGATGTACCTTTCACTTAAGATCCATGCAGGTGAGGTTCCAGTGAAATTTGAATTCGATAGGTACCTAGCCATTTTTGCTTTTGCTTTGATACTTGTGGCAAGGAAACATGATTATTGTTGCATGAACCGCCCACTGCCCATTTGCATTGCTGTCTTGTCTCGCGTTCGATAGGTATCCGATCACCATTCTTAAATAGCTCACCTTACCATATGGAAATCAGATTTTAGGAGGCCACTAGGCCTGTGGGGCCTGGTCTCAATGAGCTCCCAGTGCTTAGGACAGTCAGGCTCATATGTTGGGTAAGGTGAGGTTCAGGTAGGCCAGTATGCACTCTGCAAAGCATGGCAATTTCGACAAGATCTCGTCTGTGCCGGCTTGTCCGGCTGGTGAGGGTTTGGTGTAGCCTGGATTTAGCTTGGTGCAGTGCGGATTTTGTGTAGCGCGGTGCGGCTTTGGCCTGGTGTGGTCAGGTAGTGGGGGATGATGTAGTGTAGTGCATTTTAAATGTGGCTTGGTGATGGACATGATGGACCCAACAAAATGGATGGCCAAAATTGAAAAAAAGCATTAATGGAGCTTTGACATGCAATTTAGTGTGCTCTCGGGCTGATAGGTGTGCGGTGGTCAGAACGAACTATGCCAGTGCTGGTGCCTGGTGGTCCCACCAATCATGGGTGTCATCCCCTGTTGTGACCCAGGGGGTCTAGTCAAAACCTTACCTATTTCTGCTAACCTAAACCTATTTCTTACAAATTAGGCAAAGTGTGATTATGGTATAATAATAAAATGATTCAAAAGTCTTCATTTCACTCATATATTAAACCTGGCCCTTTTCAGGCGCAAGCTCTGGATGAACTTCTGCGGTGACGTCGGCATTCTTACAGGAGAACCCAAGATTCGCTGTACCTGTATGCATTTCAAAACTGAATAATTAATAGCAACAAGTAAATATTTGAAGTTGCAGCCAAATGCTGTGCCTTCTCTGCTGCAAGAACTACATGTCACCATTGAAGCAAGGTAAGTGTTAAAAGAAATTGTTCACCTTCTGTGAATAATTTGATGAATAAAATTTAAAAAGATGTGTTAAAAATGTGATAAATAAAATTTAAATGCATTCTGACTTGGAATTACACGCTTCTTCTAAAGGGATTTCATTATTTTAATGATTAAAGTTATGAACACTAACAGCTGAACAACCTATCAGCTGCAAGGGATTCTGCTCCTGTAAGTGCTCTCATCGCTGATTGGCCACTGTGTGTTGAAGAGGTTTCTGCTAGCTGTAAATGACCACTAGAACATGAATTTAAACACCAATATTCACTGATAAAAGGTGAATATCTCAAACGGTTCAAATATAAGGCATACGCAAATCTGCTCTATCAGACTGCTATCTCAGTTTAAAATCCCATGTTAAAGGTGAACTGTTTCCTCAACAGGACCAGCTCGACTCCTGCAGTAGGACTCCAGCCTCGTCCAGTCGTCGCCGCTCGCCAAGACCTGCCGGACTCCTGCAATAGGGGTCCAGGCTGACCCGTTCGTCCAGTAACCGCCGCTCGTCAGCACCAGCTGGGCTCCTGTAGTAGGGGTCCAGCCTCGTCCAGTCGCCGCCGCTCGCCAAGACCAGCTGGGCTCCTGTAGTATGGGGCTAGGATGGCCCGTTCATCAACCGGTCTTGAAGTCACATCGCTGTCAGCCAGCCGAACTCAGTACATAAGTCACCAACCCTGAATGTTGCCAGCCAAAGTCGGCAGTTTCCTTCGGACAGTCATCTCACCAGTGTTGTACAGTGTACAAGGTTAGTGACGCAGTTAAATGCGCCAATTAAATGCGAGGACGTGCGCTTGTATGCAGCGTTTTGTCATGTTGAGCTGCATGGGTGTCGATTTTCACCGAATTGAGGGTGCCCAGTGCCCACTGCCCGGGCGCAGCAAATCCGCCGCCGCCTTAGCGGTGACCTTGACCCGCACCGTCTGTTGGGGCTCCAAAGCCAAGCCAGCCGAGCCGGAGGGGAATTTAGAGAGCTTGAGCACCCCCAACCCGGCGGAAATTGACACCTATGTTGAGCTGTATGGATGCGTTTTAGCCTTCCGCCGTGGTGGTAAATAGCAGTCTACATGCAGAATTAGGCAGGCTTATTAACGGACTCATGATTTGATTCATTGTGTCACCTTTGTCGGCACGTGTAAGATGTGCTTAACTGCCATTGGCTCTCGGCCTGGTGACTTCTGGGGACCACGTAATGGGGATGACAATTGGGATCCTGTGCCTTAAGCCGGCCATTTACGTCCATGGCTATATACCCCCGTACTAGGGCCAGTTATGACGTATATAGGGATCCACGAGATCTTTTTTTGATGAATGGGTTGTGCAGTGTTGAGATCCGCGTGTAACGTCACTGTTTGGCCAGTCTGCCCTCAAACGCGTCATCTTTACTCGTATTTTATTTACATGAACACTTTACATGGTCCAGTGGTTTATATAGACATCTTCCTTGCACTAGCTAGTTTTATGTGGCCAGGTTGATTGCCTGTCAGCGCGGTCACGCTGTCGTCTTTCGATTGGTGCGCTTAAATGCGGCGAGATGAATGTAGGATTTCCCTATTTAGTACCTGCGCCCAGCTCAACTGGAGCCTTCGGACGGCGCACCTCTTGGCCGGCGTTGTTATCTGAAACTTATTATCTCGGGCGTATGTTGCAACTTGTTTATTGCCAGCGTCGTTGTGTTACGTACGCGAAAGCAGTAGCGGCGGAACACCTTCAATTAAGGGGAAGGGGGGAGGCACTGCCGACTTTTGATCCCATTCTTTCCATGTAACGCCCATAGGGCCCATGTCAAAATGCCAAAATCAAAGGGGGGCACGGTGCCCCGGTGCCCTCCCCGTTCCGCCGCCTATGCGCGAAAGTACCAACCCAGTTGTTTGTGTCCCAATGTTTTTTTATGTTTTTATTATGTACAGGGACCGGTTGTCGATATCAATGTTATCGGTTGTTACTGGACAGGACAGACGGCTAGACAAGGGATTCGTGTACAGTAGCAACTGCTGGTTCCCGTACCAGCATTGAAACTGCACCAGTACCAGCATTGAAACTAAATATAAGATATCTCAGAAGGTTGCGCTTTTGGAGTGAGTTGTGGTGCTTTACGCCGTACCTACATCATGCTTAACGAATGTGACCGTCGTGTTTGTGGGATCCCCGTCGGTACTAGTCAGCCCCACGAATCGTGGTAGATCATAAAATAGGCATTGATTTCAAAAGCGATTTTCCACGGCCTCTCAGCAGTAGCGGCAGAACACCTTCAATTAAGGGGGGGGGGGCACTGCCGACTTTTGGTCCCATTCTTTCCGTGCGACGCCCATAGGGCTAATGTTAAAATGCCAAAAGTAAAGGGGGCACGGTGCCCCGGTGCCCGCCGCCCGGCCCGTTCCGCCGCCTAGTTATGCCTCTCAGGGTTGGTTCCAAAATGGGCACGGCCGAGGATAATCTTCGCCTCCAGTTATCATTTTGATATATCTACGAAACAGTTGCTGGGTGGTACACGAAAGCAGCTTTTTCAGGTGAGTTGAAAGGGGAAGAGGTTCTTTGAATTACCATTTCTGTCCATGGTTCTAAAAAGCGCTAAATTAAAACTATTGTTTTAATTCCTATCGTAAACCATCGGACGCTCGACGCTGCATTGGCATTGGTACGATGTGCCGGTAATCGCTCGCCGATAATGATAACGTGGCAGCTTTACTGATATGTAGGATTATCAATCAAATGTAATAGAAACGATATTAAATCCACTACCTCTTTAGGAGCTCGTGAAATAAGCCTGGCTATCTGGTTGTCGAAGCCAGGCAAATATATGCTTGGAATGGCATGTCCATTGTCCATGACATCATTTAATTGAATTATTTTCCTTCTTAGCACTTAAAATACATTCCAGCGACACAAAACTCCCAAAAGTCTGATGTCTTGCCCGTGGTATCGTGGTACGATCGGCGAGTACCTTCCTTCGCAATGTCCATGGCTATGCGAAGTCTAAGGTTGGCCTACATAGCCTTGGGTTGGCCTATGGTATTGCCTGTTTATCCTATTTCATATCGTATCTATGAAAATAAAGTGTTCACGATCGCATAGCGAAACTGAGAGCAAAATATTTATTTGCAAAACTCCGGCAATACCCCTCGCTTGATACTATAAAAAACATTGCACACGATCATGCGAAGACGTGAATCCTACCGCCTTTATTTAGCGCCGGCGTTCCCGCGTTAATAATTTCTCCTGAATCGGAGGACCAATAATCAGCTGACGCACCGTTGTTTTGATGTCGGCGGACCGTGCCAGCCTGGGCGACACGTATAGAGTGAACTATGAGAGCTGCGTCACAACCAATACCGAAAGCATGGCCTTTGAGAGAGACAGGTAAGTGATCAAAGAAGTGGCATGTGTCTCCTGTGCTAGGCATTGATTTATATTTTAGGCTGGTAAAGATACCAAAAGATATGCCACCCTTTCCACAAGCGAACTTCAACCAGCCCAAAACAAACTAAGGGACAATATTCATCGGTGTTATCCAATTATAACTCTTATCTAGTGGTCCTTCTTAGAACACTCTGTTAAAGAAAAAAAAACATTGAGGAGTATTCTGGATACTGTTGTGCTTATGCTGCCTGTGCTTATGTTGTGCACCTGATTCATAAGACATTGCAATCGTGGAGAGAAAAAGCATAGAGGAAGCATCTCAACGACAATGACTTGAAGTTGATCCTGACACCGCAAACATGGCCGACCTGTGACCTGTGGGCACGGCCCATTTGATATTGTTATTTTTTTCAGCGCCCGGTTCGAGTGTCCGCAGCTGCCAGCCATGGCCGGCATCACTTCATTCTGGTACACCCAGGATCCAACGGTCTCGCACTGGAATGACGTCACTTGCTGCACGATCTCGGTCCGTTTCGACCCCTGAACAGTCGCCGCCACCGCCACTGCAAGTTGTACCAAAGGTGCCTGCTATTGCCGACACGGGGCAGTGTTTCCTGGGGCGTCGGGCGCATATGTGTGTAGTAGGTGTTTGAGTAGGAACTTTCATCCAGTTATCAGACGTAGGAATCTCCCTAGAGCTAGGTTTGAACCTCATGCAGATAATAACTTGATTGGAAACACGTCGATAGCTAGAATGCAGGCACAGTCTTTATGCAGTGTGCACCTTTATTGGTAAGAACGGTTTTGCCGATTACAGCAAAAACGAAAACATCCTTACCAGCAAAGCATTTTGCAATAAGTTACACAGAAATGCATAAAGAAACAAATTCTGCAAACTTCTGGAAATTTAGAGTTTTTCTTAGGATCATACCAGTTTCCAGTGACGTTCAGTACAATTTCAGGATTGGCAATGGCAATGGAAATTCTAGGGATGGGCTGCGATGGCAACATTTGCGATGGTACACAGGTACTTGATTTCTTCTTCCTGTGTATAATCTTTTTATCTTCCTGTGTAAAGGCCTTTTTGCCATTCATCTTACGTTACATTGCTGTAAAACCTCGTATTCTTATGCTTTCTACTCAGCTTCGAATGCCTTATCATTGAAATGTTATGTCAATGGTGACAAACGCAGTTGCTGATGAGAATAAATCAGTGGATGCTGACGCAAGACGAGTTGTATGTGTAATTATATGTGTGTTTGCGGTAAAGCAGCCTGTTGCAAAGTCCAAAGCAGGCTTCATCAGCTCCATTCATTGTCTCTGCGGATTTGTGGGATAAAAACACTGGGCTGAGCTGATATCAAAAAGGTTATAATGATTTCCCTACCACATGGTGGTTTTAATATTTTAAATTTATGCATGCTAATTGCATTATTGTTACTCTGGTTTAACACGCGCAGTGGAAGGGTTGCGAGTACTACGCCCAGTGGAAGGGGGGGCGGATGTCGCCCCCCCCCCCCCTAAGATCTCAGCTCCCACTGGAGCTAGAAAGACGAAATTTGGAGGGTAGGTGGAGGCCATGGGGAACTCTGTTGTGTGTGAATTTCATGACCCTAGGTCAATATCTTCAAGGTCAAATGAGGTCAAATGTGGTCATATCTGCCATATTTGCGACTTTTTTGCGTTTACACGCCGATAACTCAAAAACTTACCGGCCGATTTTCTTTTTTCTTTCACTATACGAAAGACTAATCATTTGTGAGTATGTATAGTGAATTTCAAGTTAATCCAACAATGAATATGGCAGTTAGAAGCCTGTTAAGGGTAAGATGTCGCCGGCTGAAGCGGCATCGGCCGACGCGGGAAACGCGGCAATCACAATTTTGTGTTTACACACTCATAACTCAAGTTGTTACCGGCCGATTTTCAAAATTCTTTGACCATATGATTACCTGTACATTTCTCAGTCTTCTCACCAAATTTGACGCGAATCTAATGTAATCAGCGGTAAGGAGCGCGATGTAAAGACGGAACCGTCCCGCCCCGGCACAGTCTACAATTCAGGCGGCGCGTAACGGCTAGCGCCGGCCGCCGCGCCGCCGCCGCGGCAGGATGTTTGACTTTACACCGCTATTACTAGAAAAGTTGTGAACCGATTTTCTTATTTCTTGCACGAGAAGATCCGCAATTCAATTTTGGACAGGTAGCCAAAATTTCACATTAATATTATGTTTGCGGCGCGAGTTATTGGCGAAAAACAGGAGGGGTGGGCGAAATCCGCCCCCCCCCCCTTCCACTGCGCGTGTTAAAAGCCACAGTTAATTAAACGTTAGATAAATGACTTATATGCCGACCATCACACTAGGATCCGTTTCTTACGGGAGCTTATTTGACTCGCGCCCTGGTGGTCGGGTGGGGGGGGGGCTATTTCCCCCCCAGACTTTTCGATACGATATACCTATGTATATCCAGAACCGATGCGCCAATCGTCACCAAACTATCAGTACCCTCCCGGGCATCAATTTTACATATCGTGATCAATTTTTTTCCAAAGGCTATGATATGATAGGTTGGCCGCAAATGACGTCACAGTGACGTCATGTTCTGCCGTTTAAAAAAAACGTTTCGCGGGAAGAGCTGTCAGGCGTATAGCTTTGAAGATGCAGAAAAACGTCTTTGACGGTGTAGAATCACCGGGGCTACAAAACTGCTATCTCGGAATTTATATTTTTTTAATTTTGACCCTCTCCCCAAAACTGAATATGGTTGCCAAAAAAAAATCCAAAAAGTTTTTCGATTTTCGAAGAAATGGAATATATTAGATAGCCCTTACCGATTTCTATTTACATACCAAATTTCAGATCGATACCTCAATTTCGGCCAAGTTATAGCGAAAAAACTGTTCAAAATTGATGACGTAAAATTTTCAGGCTCAATTTTTAGCAATTCTAGACCACCTAGCGCAAAACAAAGACCACCATTAGACTCGCCGTGACAAGCGGCATCGAATCAATACCCATTTTATGCAAAAATATCAACTTTGATATTTGATCTTTTTTGACCTGACATTGACCTGACCTCCACCAGGAAGTGACCTAAACCGTTCCTGATGGTCTTCTAACCAACACCATTGAGTTTGAAATGACAAATTGGCCATAAAACATGCATCACACAGCCCTAGTAAAATTGGGTTCAGTGTGCTGAGGCTGACCCTTCTGTGACCTGACCTGGTACTATCAGTGACCTCTAATACCAACATATGTGCTAGGCAACTGACGCCCTATCGCTGATTTTCGATAAAATGCGTTTTACTCGATGTTATAGCGCATTCCCTAGAAGCCCGTGACCGGTAAAACCCTATATTTGACCTGACATGTGACGTCATTGGTGACCCCGAGGTCAATGAAATTGGATTTCCCCTGACAAATTTGACAGTGCTTTCGATCACTCTTTGAATTTTGCGGATCCGTCCAGTAGTTTCGGAGATACGAGGGGGGGGGGCAAAAAATAGCCCCCCCCCCCACCAGGCTGCGTTATAAACAGACCCCACCAGGGCACGGGTTAAAATGCTCTTGTAGCCAAAACACGGCTGACACCATTCATTCTGTTCACTGTATAGTGTATATTTATTATTCATTCACTCTTTTCCTGCTATTCCAAAATGATGATTAGACACTGAGCCCATTCATACATCCGCAAACAATTTGCTCGGATAGGTGCCTAATTAAAACGGAGCGTCCTTTTGCACAAAATCAGTGACGCAATAGATGCAAGTGTTCTTATCGTTATTTCACTGGCGCCGTCCCTTGATGCCTGCTCTGTGCAGCGGTGGACCGGCGACTGCACCAAACCCGTTCCGCACGCTCCAGCGCCTCTCGAGCTCGTCATGAGTGCGGGGAAGGCCGCCCTCGGCCGCGCTCTGCCGCGCGCGCGGCCGATTGCCCGTGTGACGCCGACAGTGAGCTCGTGACACGCCTCACGACTCACCGTGACGCGTCAGTCCGTGACGCGCGACCCGCGTGACGCTCCAACGGGAACTTTCCCCCTCGAAAGGCGTCATGCGGCGACGTCTTTGCGGCTGAAGTGCGCTTTTCGCGAACCTCGTGCTTGGGTTGGTTTGAGTTGGCTCGCTCTCTTGGACATTCTCCAGTCATTGGTTACCATCGTTTTGGGTGTGTGTGGCTTTAAAGTTTAAACTGACCACCGATCTTATCGAACCTTTGTCAGGCATTTGATTATCCCAGAGCTGTTCAACGAGTTATGGAACCGAGGGCGGAACTCTGGAATCAAAGCTCAGAATTAGTAGCATTTCTCCTTGTGCATATGTTTGTGTGGGAGTGGGGATGCTGCTGCTGGGCATGAGTAGCTAACTATTTTCATCGTCAACATCAAGTCATGTATTCAAGAAATACATGTCATGTATTTCTGGACTGAAGAGTTTGCCTTTTGGCGCGCCAGCCCATGCCCCATACCACGAGGACCAGAGCTCTCGGCTAGCTGCTGCATACGTGTCGTGACATTCGCACAACCGTGACGTGACGCTCGAGCGCGCGTGACACTCCGTGACATGATGCGGCGTTACGTGACTCGGTGACGGCCTCCCGCCGAGCGCAGTTCTCCGGTTGCAAGCAAGGGTAAAACATAAAACGGGAATGGACTCCCTCCCTAAAAAGACCCTTTCTCGATAGATTAGGGACCTCGGTTCCTTGGAGCCTCAGAGGACCTTTGTCACTGCATAAGGCGACAGCAATCATGTATGGGTTGTTAAAGGCTTAACACCGAAACGAACAGCGACCTTCCTTGAAGATAAAACTTAAGATTTCATCTTTCCTGATATTTTCTTTTCATTTTTTTCTTTGTTGTTATTCTAAGTAAAATAAAGTACATGAAACCCCCAGGCAGAAGCACAGGCGGATGACGATCGGGACTGCATGGCCCCATCATCCTCTCCCTTCTTGTCTGGAATCTGACCCTGCTGACAAGATAGTGTAGCCAATATGAGAACTGCGCATTCTTAGAGCAGCATTTCCGTTCTCCATAGCCTCACTGGACTCGTCTCATGAATCATGTATGCCCTCCAATGTGTTGCATTTATATTTAAGCGATGCAGTTGTTCAACAAGAATATCACATCGCTCGCGGCTGGGCTGTGTGATGACGTCAGCCCTATTTTGGGAATTCGCCACAGCGGAATCCGCAAATCTGCCGCTTGTCTCGCTCAGACTATCACCATAAAGACTCAGCTCCAAAGTCCCTGCAAAGTCGCGAGCTGTCATGTTTGACCCATTGCATACAGCTACGCAGGGTTACTTTTACAGGAAAAGTCGACAGGGGGAATTAAGTTGGGGCAAGGGCGAATCCAGGGGCATCTGAAAGGGGGACCCAATGCCATAAGGTTTTTGTTAGGATGGCGCCTGCAGAACCTTACCTACCCCCAAATCCTACTCTCTCCCCGGATTCTGGCCACTTTATATTGTTAGGGGCCCAAAAAAAGAAATTATCTAAAAATATACGTAGGTACCTACATTGGCGGTAAGGGGCGGGGGAGGTCCCAACTTGACTGCGCCCTTGCAAATGTCAATCAGTAGTATCAACCTGCTATCAGCCTATTACCCTGGCCAAACATCAAGCACGGCCTTTCTCGTCGAGAGAGGTTAACACGTGACTATTTTTGCTAGGCCAAGACCGGTTGAAGGACCCTGGTTCGAAGGAAGACCCTTGGTTCGGAGAGGTCATGACCCCCGTCCCCCGCCGGTTTCTACGCCGACGCCTGTAGCGATATGTCAGTGATTGCGAAGAGACGGAAGAGACAAGACAAGAGACGGTCCCACCGACCATCCGATCGGTATCGGGTCAAATCTGGAGTTCCCGCTGCACTGAACGTAAAATGGTTGGATGGAACCTCAAATTGAAAATTATATAAGCGCCAGCAACGTTGATTGATGACAAGAGTCTGATCAACGATGATTATAGATCTGAGTACACTGACAACCAAAACGATTCTCTATTCCCTTTGATCATGGTGTGTCATGCTCCTATAACTCTGCCGTTTTCCTGGCGGAATGCCCTTAAGATACTCAAATGATTCCTCAAATGATTCCTTTTAAGCATATCAGGGGTTTTGGTCTAAAACAACACCCTGATCATTTTCTTCAAACATACCCAAACTATACCCTCATTCTTAAAATACCTCCCTTGAATTCTTCTAATATACCCTAGTGTACAGTCTC